GAGAAACCCATTTACTCTGCGTTGTAATAATTGCGAAAAACCATGAATTTGTATCAGATCATTTGTAGACTCTTTGGCAACGCACGGTACGACCATTCCATAAAACTCTCCTTTTCCCAAGGTCTGAACGGCTAGAAAATCTAGGCGTTTGCTCCAAAAGCTCTGATGCTATGCGATAATGTAGCATGGGGTTGGATCCATTGTTGGCTCTACCATGGAAACTTGCTTGTTCGTCAAACATCTGAAAAAGCAAGTTCTGTTCTTTCCCTCATTCTCTGTCCCCACTATTCACTCACTATACAGTCACGATTGAGAATTCCTACCGAGGCGAGTGTTCGGATCTATCACGACATAACTCGATCTGCCGATTGGTCATGGAAGTTTTTCCAAGGTAGTTTCCCTTAATGAGTGTTGGTCTTTTACCCAAGTAAAGATATGGATAAAACTCCGTAAGGATGGCTTGGGAGAGTTTGGGAAAACTTGATGAAACCACTTTGGATTTTGAGTGAAAGCAGTCGGGGTAGCTGTTTTTGAGTTTCGAGCTTTAGAAAAACAAGATTTGGGCTCAAAGAGACAGGGATTTAAGAGTCCGAAATTGCTTTTCAGAGTTTTCCTGAACACAACATGAGCAGTTAATATGTGCGGATTAGGTGCACCGTAAGATTCGATTCCATATGATACCGATTGGCAGGTGCAAATGATCTCATGTTTGGGACGTTAATCGGGTTTCGGCTCACGTTTCACCTAGCTCACGAGATAATCAGAGTGTTTTGTGAATAAGAAATTTGACTCATCTAAGGAGAGTTTCCTTATAAATTAAAGGAGATATTGATAAACTTGAAAACGACATGAATATGACATATACCGGTTTTTTCCCAGTTCATTCTACAAAAGTTTTGTAATGACGTTAATCTCGACAAAAAATCTAAAACTCAAATATCACACGCAAACACAAATTGGTAATTTTAGCAACCCGCTTGAAATTAAACAGTTTTGTACAGAACCCACAAAGCTTACACTCACATGCATCATAGCTAATGCAGACAAATTCAACTTGCAATACAAAGGAGGACAAAGGTTTTGGGTGCTCCGCAGTCGCTCAACACGACCCACGCGCTCATCTATCGCCATCGATCATCGCGTGCGAAGTGCCATGGATCCTCCTAATCTTCTAATGAAACTAATGGGCATTCTGTCATGCGATGATAATTTATTTGGTTGGATTTGGAGTGTCAAATTCCCAACCTTTTCCATGCATCTGTTGAGAACAGTTGGGAAGCGACCAGTGAGGAGCATTGCACGTTGGCGCAGAGCGCCACGCATCCAGTGGCTCAGCGTAAGATCAGTGATTTTGCAAGTATCTGCAATAGTCAATTCTCTATGGTCGGATCCTTACTCATTGTCACTGTCGTGGAAGAAGATTGGTTGCTAACTTGGGATCAACGTTGGACACGGACAGTAGATGAAAACGCACGTGAATGAGCATCGTTTCGAGCCTTTCAAAGGGTTGTTCTGTCGCCTTTGAATGGAAGGAGCAACTTCCCCTTTGGAGGAGCCCTCAAAGAAATCTTGAATTTTTTAAATTTCTTTCGTTGCTGATTAATGTATCGGTTTCCTCTTTAGCTCTAATATAAAACTTATTTTTGGGAACATTTGGTTTGAACTACAGCTGAAATATCTAGAAATAGACATGTCAAAGAAAAAGTCATGAGTGGCTCGAAGTGAATCTATAGTTTTGAATAAACAACTAACTTTCCCTCTCCTAAACCTATTGATGGTTTGGGAGCAGACACTCTTAGTAAAATTAGGTTACGTACTTGAAACTCCTATGTTAATGATGTCTTAGTAACAGATGGTATATGTCAGCTGGGCACGGCGCGGTTAGAGTAAGCCGTCGAGAATCGTTGTTGTTCTTTTCGTTGTCCTGAAGATGAACCCTTTTGGTCTTCAACATTCCACTCGAAATCGCAATAAAAACTCTGGCCAATCTATGCACCGTGTGGGGATCTTGTAAGTCTTTACACTCCAATGGAGTTATGTCAAATTAGAATTAGGTATGCAAGTTTGATTTTTTACTTTTCTAAGAGAAAATGGAGGAAAACAATGAAAGAAATGTGAATGCAGAAGTTCAGTGTAGTTTTGTAAGGGCGGAATTTTTGTTTCGGAAGTGAAAAGATTACATGGAAAAAGCTAGTGGGGGCAAAAGGACAATGTGAGGAAATAAAGAAATGAGTGCCACTTTACTCTTATAGCATTTTGATCTTGAAATTTGAAATCAGTTTAAGAAACAAACATGACCTTGTCTATAGTTATTCTTTTTAATTTATCACGATATTTTTCAAATCAAATATATGGAGGTAGTACTGTCGTCGGAACGCTAGGGGCACAACTAGAGAGGAATTTTTTTCCTCGCTCTTACCCAAAAGAAGGGAAAATGACACAAATACTCTTTAAACTTTGATCCAAAATGCAATGTCGTCCCTAAACTTTTAATTTATTCAATCCATATCCTGAAGTATTAGTAATGTTCAATCTAGTCCTACACTATATGAAAATTTTTAATTTCTTCTTTCTGTCAATTCAAGTTAACGAAATCTACGGATGTGACTTCCAATCAGTTAAGTTTGAATGGTGGACAACAAAAAAAAAGTTAACAGGTGAATTATCCAAGAGATATTCATCTCAAATCAGAATATAATGATCCATGTTATCAAATAATGATGAACATGCTAATGCCCTTATATTCTTTTCCTTTTCGAAAATAGATGAATAAAAAGATGGACATGTTGACTTATCCGTTTTAAAAATCTAACTCAATTATAATAACTCACGTCATCAAATGATGTATGGTTTGTCGTTTTAGTAAATGGAAGGACTGCATTGAAAATTTACTAATAGTACAAAGACCACATTGAACAAATTAAATGTTCAAAGACGACATTGCATATTGAACCAAAGTTCAGAGACTATTTATGTCATTTCCTCTCAAAAGAACTAGAGCAAACTCTAACGAATAAAAATTGTGACCGCGATGATTATCTCATTTTGCTGTGATACAATTCGGAACAAATGTCAACATACAATTTAAACTCTGAATAAACTAACACTTGATCCATCTCGTTTAATCGTGACTGTAGTTTATTTATAATATCCTAATAAAACGGGTGTGTAGGGGTGGCAACATCTATGCACATATATATTAGAAAAATTGTCAAATCAGTCCTAAACCTATTGTACGGCGGCCAATTTAGTTCTAAACCTTTTAATTTTGCCAATTCGGTCCTAAACCTTTTAAATTTTTGCCAATTGAGTCCTTAGGCCAATTTTGGCCGGCGCCGTGACGTGGCCGCCGGCCGTCCGTGCATATTGACGTGGCAATTTTTAATTATTTTTCAATTTTTAATCTTTTTTTTTCTTTTTCTTCTTTTTTTTCTGCTTTCTCCCCTTTGGCCGGTCCGGCGGCCGGCCAGAGGGGAGGGCCGGCGAGGCCTCTGGCGAAGCTCGCCCCGCCGGCCACCGGCGAGGCCTCGCCGAGGCCTCACCGGCCCTCCCCTCTGGCCGGCCGCCGGTCGCCGGACCGGCCAGAGGGGAGACAACAGAAAAAAAAAAAAGAAGAAAAAGAAAAAAAAAGATTAAAAAATTGAAAAAAATAATTAAAAATTGCCACGTCAGCGTTGACCGTACGGCGGCCACGTCAGCGCCGACCGGCCAAAATTAGCCGGAAGGACTCAATTGGCAAGAATTTAAAAGGTTTAGGAGATCAATTCAAAATAAAGGTTAGGATCTGGCCGATAATAGGTTTATGATCGATTTGACAATTTTTCCTATATATTACAACATCGGAATTTTGACATTATCGTGGCAACATATGATGATTTTATTTTATTTCAAACCTATGCACTGTGCTGTGTAGGGGGTGGCAATTCCTGACACAACATGAATTTATTGAAAGAAATATGAACTTCACACAATGCGATTTAACTCGAAGTTGACACGGATTAATTGGTTCTTATCCATATTAATAAAACTCACATTGCATTCACACTAAAGCGTTTTCTTTTCGGAACGATATGAATAATCGATACAAGTATACTACTGATATACGAATTACCAGCTCTATCGTTCTTTTAATTCTATAAAAAAAACAGGGAATATTATAAAATTGTTGAAATATCCGATGAAAGCTAAACGTGGTGATAGACCGACCGAGTATGCTCTAAAAAGCTCCACCATTTTTTCTTTTTGTACAGCAATTATTCCAGGCGCCCACCCACACACACTCACCCTCTCTCTCTCTCTCTCTCTCTATCCTTTTGCTTTGGTTTCTGGTATAAAAAAAAAAAGAGTTTGGGGTGATGCAGCCTCAGGTTCCGAGTCACGGTGTCCATATCGAACAAGGTCTTGATAAGATGGTCGGGCCCAAAGAATATAATGACGGTGGTAGATGGAGTCCCTGTTCAGCTGGGGTTGACTAACCGTTAACTATTTTCACCGGCCGGTCTCCTCCGAGGAAGAATTATCAAGAGGCGGGTCGCCTCGCCGGATGGGAACCTTCTGGTAGAGTTTTCTGGTGGGGCGTTGGAAAGGACGAGCGTCACTTCCTGTGCCTTAAAAATTTGGCAGTGACCTGACTTTTGCCAACCTAAAGATGGAGGTGGTCTTGGTATTAGAACGTTATAGGCTGGTTTCGATGCCGGATTCACTTTGGAAGTCGCCATGGACGCTGGCCTCTCTGATCAGAGGACACTTTAGGGCGACCTTTTGAGACCGAAATACCTTAGAAACTCCAAGGCAGTCTTTATAAAACGAAGCCCCAACTTGAGGGTTGCTCTGAAATCAGTGAAACCTGATTCATCAATATCTGAAGCAGCATAACTATAGCTTCACTACAGTTGACCAACGGCGCCATATAACTAAGGTTCTTCATAGGCAGGCATGGAAATTCTACACGCATGCAGAAGACCAGCGCACTTCTGCCAGATATACATGATACTTGGACAAGTATAGAAAAGATGCTCTGATTATTAACAGTGATGTCTGGTTGAACATGATCTTCCTGAACATGTATGAAAAAAGATACACTGATTACTAACGGTGATGTATGGTTGGCCGATTAACAAGGGAAATTGATTAGGATGCCCAAGGGAAATTATCAGAATTGCAGAATGAAGCATCACATAAAATCTGGGTGAATATCTTCCTCTACCTTCTGATCATTTGTTTTAGATTCCAGGGCACCATTACTAAATCGATCCGCATCATCTTTGTACATGCCTACCTGCAAGGTATCTTCATCTTGTGACATGTAATCGCTCCATTTGGTGGTACTCCTTGTGGCTGCAGTTGATTGACTGATCACTGGGTCGATGTCATTTTCTCTTTTGGAATTCGTCCAACTGGAAGTCCTGAAAGCTAACTCATTTTGGTTCTTCTTTGGCTCTTCATCTGCAAATAATGTCCAGAAAATGCTTAGGTTATGAATTTTCCATCACTAGTCACCATGACTACTTTGGCTTCATCGGCCATTGTTCGTGTAACAAGCTGAGAAGGCTATATATGGCAGTCAAATATGTTGTTTTTCATAATCATAAAGGCCAGGATGATTGCAAATAGCTGCAGTCTCCCAATCTATCGGTTTGCTAACAATTTAAGCAGGCAAATGGCACTCAAGACTCCTCAAACTTATTGAGTCAGAAAAGGTATCGAGCTTCAGCAATAACTGCAGATTCGTTTGAGCAAATTGCAATGTGCTAACAAGATATGTTGCCGATGACGATTTGCTAGCAAGAAATGTTGCTGATGCTGATTGACTTTGCATATCTGACAACACAGGGCAATCGATTACTATTAGCATCTCCTTGATGATCAAATCAGGGCTTCACTCGGATTTGCTCAGAGGATTACACTCTGTATCGAAACTGACAGCTAGAACATTGACTTTCCTCCATCATCTTCGCAAATTCATATGGCAAATGGTGTCTTCCTAGTTAAAGTTCTGCAATTAACTTATGGAGAAGACTCTTCAATCTAATATCAAGAGGAACGCAAAGCCAAATCTTACCTGGAAAAGTAGTCTGTTTCCGGATATTTCCGGTTGCAAACGATGGTTTAAAGAGCTTGTCGCCCTTTGGACCATCCGATCGACGAGAGGAGTCCCTCAGTTTGGGCTTCTTGGGAATTTCTTTGGTAAGTTCCGTCACAATCTTCATCTCCCCATCGTCTTCTGCTCAGAAAATTCATCGCGTGAGAGACCGAGCAACAATACTACCAACATCCAGTCAGTATCATCCCAGAGTAATCGTACTGAATCTATGTCAGAAATTCAGAATCGAGATTATATGATCAAAAGGGATGCGAATGGACTAAAGGTCTCCGCTGAATAAATTAGAACCTTCTTCTTCGGCGCGCATGTCTTGCTCGACGTCGAGATACTCGCTCCAATCGCTCCTCTTCAGCTTCCTCCCATCGCCACCGCCCGCACGATCGCGGACCGCTCCTCCTCCTCCTCCTCCTCCGCCTTCGAGCGGCGGATCTAGGGCTCCGAGATCGGAGGAGGAGAGGCGGGACATGTTGAAGGACTGGACGAACTTGCGGACGTCCCTGGCCACGAAGCCCCGGGCAAAGACCTTCCTCACGGACTGCTTCTGGTTGCAGACGACGCACATCCACCTGTTGCTTCTCTTCTTCTGCTGCTTCACCTGCCGATTCGGACAACATCGGTGACGACGCATCAGAGCTCCGTAAGCGAGAGAGAGAGAGAGACACACACACACACACACACACGGAGACGGAGACGGAGACGGAGACCTGCATGGTGGAGCATTGGCAACATTGGAGAGCGATGAAGATCGTCGTCGCCGTCGCCATCGCCATAGCTCAGATCGCAGTCTCTTCCAGTTGCGGAGCAGCGAATTGATCTTTGCCGGGCGGATTTGGGGGATCTCTCCCTATTCAAACTGAGGATTTGGATTTGGCGCGACGCATTTTCGGACTTGCTTGGGCTTGGGCTTGGGCTTAACCAGATATGTCGTAAATCATTTCTTTTGGCAACAATTTAAAATATTATTCGAGGTATAATAGCATAAATAATTCATGAACCTTGGTCAATATGCAATATGGTCCCTAAACTTTTAATTTATATAATATAGTTCATAAACCTTGACCCAGTGTGCAACGTCATCCCTAGATTTATAGTTTGTCCTGAACTATTGGTAAACGTTCAATGTAATGCCTAAATTATATTAAAATGTTTAAAAGTTTATTGACCACATTAAAATTAGATCAAAATTCGGGGACCATATTGGACAAATTAAAATTTCAAGGACTACATTGCACATTTGACCAAAGTTCAGAAATAATTTGTGTCATTTTCTCATTATTCAACTTTGCTACTTTTCCGACTCGACCGAAATAAAAAACTTTGTTAATTTTCCGTTCAAAATTTACAATATTGTTCGAATTTTAAAACGATGTGCAAAAATATACATAAATTGGAGAGCCGACATTGAGGTATAACGAAAGCTTAAATATTATTAAATTTTTGACATATCAATGATGAAGACTAATATATCAATGTTGACAATTAATCTTCACCTAAATTAATGTTGAGATTTAGTTTTCAAGTAGAAAAAGTTCGGTCTCCTGATTAACGTGAGGTGAATGTAGGTGAAGTAAATATTGATTGCCCCGCCGTGGAAAGCTCATGTAAAGTGCATAATCTAATCGAATCGAGTGAGTATAGCAATATTTCGATTCGATCGAATTAATCGTACACATTATGTTATTATTGACCGATCGATTAGCTATATGCAAGAATCAAGTATTTTCAAACTCAGCCTCCAATTAACTGGGTGCTTGAATTTGAGAAAAGGCAAACTAAATTTGTGTAATTACAAGGGCTCCAGTGGTTAGACTATAACCATAAACCTAAGGCACTTTTGCCAATTCAGTCATAAACATCTTAATTATGTCAATTGAGTCCTAAATATTTTCACGTTTTGTTAATTTAGTTAATCTGGCCAGTTTTGATCGAAAAATCATTGACATGGAAGCCAGCTGTCCTGCGTGGCACGATCAGCGCTAACGCAAACAATTTTTTAATATTATTTTAATATTTTTTTGAATTATCTATTCATTATTTTTTTTATTTTTTTTCCTTTTCCTTCTTTCCTTTTTTCTTGCTATGGCCGGCAAGGGCCGGCGACCCTCGCTAGCCACAGTAAAAAAAAAAAGACAAGAATAAAAAAAGAAGAAAGAAAAGAAAAGAAAAGAAATAAATATATAATAATTCAAAAATTATCAACGTTAACGCCGCCCGCGCCATGCAGGATGGCTAGTGTCTACGTCAGTGATTTCCGGCTAAAATTGGCCGGATAGACTCAATGAACAAAACGTGAAAAATGTTTATGACTCAATTGACACAATTGAAATATTTAGGACTGAGTGGGCAAAAATGCAATAAATTATGACTTTTTGGACAATTTTCTCGCTAGTTCAATACCGAGAATCTTAATATATCAATTTGGGAATCGACTAGCTTTATTCTTAGGCTAAGAATTGAACCGAAAATCTTTTGTCAAGTTGGAATGTGTCGCCAAAATATTTGATATGATTTCACAGGTATTTGAATGGGAAATTGAGATGTTGTTGATATTTGCTTATCATGAAGAGCGCCTTAGGAAGTTTTCATAAAGGAAATAGGGATTTGCGGATCCTCCAAGAAAAGCAAAATAGCTTCTTTATTTATCTCGCGAAAAATAAATAATTTATGTAATATTTTTTAAAAAATGATGGCTCGTATAACTTACACTAATTAGTTAATAAAATATTTTTTCATAATCAACGATAATTTATTATTTAAATATTTTCGCAACCGGTAAAAATATTTTACGACCATAATTATCTTTAAAAAATATTTTTCCAAAACAGAAGGGCGTCCTCACTTTCTCTTTCATTTGCTCGGAGTCGTAGTCGAAGTCGAACGCCGGCCTTTCCTCTCGCTCGTTCCTCTTCCATCATCATACGCCGGCAATCGACTCCAGAAATGGAGTCTCACATAGAGCGGGTCCTGTGGACCCAGGACCAGATTTCGCTCCGGGTGTCCGAGCTCGCCTCCGACATCGCTTCCGACTTCGAAGCCGCGGCCCCGCCCCCGGTCTTCGTCGCCGTCGCCACCGGCGCTTTCCTCTTCGTGGCCGACCTGGTCAGGAAGGTGCCGCTGCCCCTGGTCGTCGATTTCGTCCGCTCCGATTCCTACGGCTCCGGCACGGAGTCCAGCGGCGCCCCCGCCGTGTCCCTTGACTTGAAGGTGGACGTCCGAGGCAGGCATGTCGTCTTGGTAATGGATGTGTTCTCAAGTTTTCATCTTTCGAGTGTTGAAGAGCGGTACCCGCAAACTGCTTCTCGTGTTTTTCTTCGAATTTGTGATGAATGCTCGTGTACGAGATGCTCCAGGATAACCATTGTCTCTTTCTTTGATTCCGAATCATAATATCAGCACTGCTAGTATTTTCTGTGACGTTTTACTGTTAGCTCATCAAGAATTTCCAAAATCTGGGAGATTGATTAGGAGTTCGAGACTTTGTAAGTTTGTTTTAGCCTACAGGTTTGGATCAAGTGCGTGCCGATGGGTTAAACTTATTCAGCTTGAAAGAGATAATAGGATTCATTATTAACCGAGCGCTCTGGTCTGAATGGTCTTATTGTTGGCATAGACTAGTACTCCTCCAGTTTCAGAACCTACTTTCGCTTGACTTGGCGAAGTACCAGAACGATTGCATAATCTACACGAGAAAAGATAGATCTATTGGAGTGGTTGTGGCCCTTTTTTTGATAGTCTAATGTTGATCTGTCAAAAAGCTCTGACAGGTGCTTAGGACATTTTTTTAGGTTGGTAATATTGGCGGAGATATCATTTTAGGTTTCGGAATTGAGTCCTTTTTGAATAAACAGTCTGTTTTGCTAGAATGTCACCATATTAAAAATGGTGTCCCTTTATAACTACCTGCCATGAGAACGATATTATGTGGCATGAGGTCAACATGAGCTCATTCATATACATCTATGTCAACGACGATTCTACATTTGTGGAACTTCTTGCACAAGCGTTGCCACCTGATAAAACGAAATGTTTCGTGCATCTTTCTTCTTATATTGACAGCTGGTTCTTACATATAGATATAGTCATGTTGGCAGACTTTACTGGCGATTTTGAAGCTTGCTAATGTCTCCGAAAATCATTTTTATCAGGTTGAGGACATCGTTGATACGGGGAACACCTTGTCCTGCCTTATTGGCCACTTAAAGTCGAAAGGAGCATCATCAATTTCAGTTTGTGCTTTTCTTGATAAATCAGTGAGGAGAAAGGTTCATTTTCAGTTGGTGGGTGATGGAAAATTCTATCGTGGATTTGAGGTTCTCTCGCTCTCTCTCTCTCTCAAGTGCTTTGCGATTCTTTTGTTGAAGTCTAAGAAAATTTTCTCTGCATAACTGTCTTGTTATATCTTTGTGTTGTCTAACTATGACAATTACAAGAATTTGGAAGAGGTTACATGAGACAAATTAGCTAGGTCAGTCCACCTCTATGAGGTGTACCAAGATATTCTGGCTGGGAAGGTTAAAATCCCCTATGAGAAAAGTGTGAGCAACTTACTTTGGTAAAGTCATTTAGTTACTACAGATGATATATTCATGCTTTGTAGCTTATATAAGCTTGTGGATGAGGAAGTTGTTACCTTGAGTTGCAGATTGTTCTTTACCCTTTCGTAAGCGTTGCTCGGTATGTCATTTATATATTTGACCAGCTTTCCTTGCCTGGTGGTTGCCATCTTCATGGGATTTGTTGATCAACCTTCTTCTTTTTCCTTTTTCAACCATCTGGTCTAGACTTTTACTTTATTTTGAGGTCGCGCATAGGATGCTGCTTTGTGCTTGTGCTCTGTCTGTAAGTTGATTTAGCAAAAAAGGCTTGCATATTAAGATTATATGCCGTCCTATGGATGTTGATTTGCTTTAGGTTGTTTGGTTACTTGGAAGGGTTTCTTCCTTGCGAGTTGCAACCTGATCATTCATTCTCCGCCGAATAAGATTTTCAAGTGTTTTTCTTTTGGGCAAGTGCATTTCTGAATCAAGCGAGCACCAAATTGCGATACTAAATTATTTTAGTGCCAATAATCTTGGTAACCACCCATCGTTTTACGTTTTTTTCATTATTTTTTCTCGATAGGCTCTTATGTGTTTGCAACTCGTGAATCAAACACAACTTAGAATGCTGATGCGATGCTCTGTTTTTTTGGGCAGTGTCCGGATTATTTTGTGGTGGGATACGGAATGGATTATGCCGAGCTATACAGGAACTTGCCTTACATCGGTGTCTTGAAGCCAGCGTACTACACATGATCTGATTGATGTCATCCTCAAATAGGTTAACTGGATTCAGGTACCTAGGCATACTTTTTTGACGAGCAACATATTTATTCCATATGGTCCATGAGGGTTGATCCCCTTAATGTGATGGACAGAACCATTTCTATTGTTAAGACACAAATTACGCTATACACATGTCGAGAATGCAGACATGGCAAGGAATTGTCCTGCAAAGAAGTGATAATAGAGTTTCCCTACTAAAGATTTATGTTAGTTTCACTTTGTCCCCCCAAATATAATTTGGGTCGATTTGTCCATGATGTTTTCACAACTTCTGCGTTCTGTCCTCTAACTCGAATCTCTCTGTAGGGAGAAATCATTGTGTTGCTCTCACGTGACTTGTATCTAGATCGTCAGCACATAATTCGACCGTGATTGTCAAAAGACATCACTATGGTCTCGTAAGACATGAATCTTAAGCCTGTGGACAATGCCGCTTCTATTTTCCATTGGCAAAACTGGACAGGATTTCTCGATGTTGTGCAGTCTCTCTTTCGGATGCATGTTGAAGGAAGCAAATCATGAATAAAGCATAAGCGAGGGAAACTATAAACAAGGTATATGTGTGAATCAATTTGCTCAAGTTGGAATAAACTATTCAGAACTCAACGTTTGGTAAATATTTCGCAACTACCCGGTTTTTTCCCCTAGACCCCGTACATACACACACCGACGGAACCATATGGTTTCACTTGAAACTCGCTTGATTTGAAAAATGAGATGGTATAGAATCGCATCAATTCTATTTACCCTTCCAACGCAAAAGGGTTAAAAAGATTAATTTTGGAAAGTGAAGAAAAAATTTACACCATGATGTTGATAATCATTTAGAAAGGCATGCAAAAGAGCGAGTCAAATGCAAAACAATTGCTGAATGTAATTTAACACAACAAGGTAAGGCATAGGCGATTTATCACTCCTGGACCTATCAAAATAAGTTATAGATCAATTTCTTGACTCATATTTGATGGGTTAATTATATTCACTAAATGGGTTATAAATAGGTTTAAAATGATAAAGTTCAAATAATATGAGTATTAAATGGGTTCACAACTTTCTTAGATCCAACCAACCTCTATAACCATTTCTTCACTCTATCTCGCCCTTATTCGATATTGCGTTCACTCACTTCGAGCTCCCACTTCATTTTCGATATGAGTTTTTCTAGATTTGGTTAAATATGAAAATATTTTAGTAATATGGATCAAATCGGGTATGAGCTAGATAGGTTATAGGTCACTCGATTTGCACGGAAACAGGTGAAAACGGGTTAAAAGAGTAAAATTTGGGTCGGCAACGTCAACCTTGTTGCGTCCTTGTTTTGCGCCCCTCTCTCGGACCATCGTCTTCACTAAAGAAAGAAACAGCAGGTGCAAAAGTAGCCACGGCCATGGCCATCAGAAGCGTCCGCAGAGCCCTTCGACCTCGCTGCTCGAACCTCCTTCCTTCTTCACTTCGCTCGGCCGCATCGCCTCCCGTCGCCGGGACCTCGCAACCCATCAAGCCCCTCTCCGCCGCCGCCGCTGACGACGACGACGACGAGCGGGCTCCGCCGAAACCATCCGGCTCCAGCGCCAACTCCAGGAGAGACTCCATGATTCTCGAAAGCTTCAGGCGCAGACAACTCGGAGGCTCTCCCGAACCCCCGCGGAGCGAGCCGCCCCCGACGCATCCGCCGCCGCCGCCTTCCGGGGAGAGGAGCGGCGACGAGGAGGTCCTCTCGGGCTTCGGGCCGCTGGGGCTGAGCGGAGAGGTGGTGGAGGCGGCCGAGGGGATGGGCGTCTTCGTGCCGAGCGAGATTCAGTGCGTTGGGATTCCCGCGATCTTGAAGGGGCGGAGCGTGGTTCTGAGCTCGCCTTCGGGGTCGGGCAGGACTCTGGCTTACTTGTTGCCTCTCGTTCAGGTACTACTCTTCTTCGTTCGCCATTCGAGACCGCGTCATCATGGTCGTGCTCGTGCTCGTGTCGGTAGTTTCGCGTCATTGCGCTGTCCTTGCTGAAATAACTTTTTTTCCGCTATGATGAGAAGTTGAATTTAATCGATAGACAGGGTCAAAGAGTGAGCTTGGGCAGTAGTTTCAAGTTGATCGCGTTGTATCATACTTGGGTTTTTCTCTCATGCCATGTTATGTTCTCATGTCTCATCATGAATCGCCACCCCTTGGGGAGTTAGTTTATGGAACTGCTTATTTGGGAGCTTCTAGATATGGAGTTGTATTGTTGGCCATTGAAATGAAGTTTAAATTACGGAAAAGAGCTCTCTTTTACTTGCCCCTTTCGATGTCTCTTGGGTTTGCGGTCTTTGAGAATTGGGACGCACCATTTATGAGGGCATACAAACTTTGATCGAAGCGATCATACTCTCTTCATTGTAGAATGTAAGACCTGGCTCTCTTTTTGTGGGTTGATTCAGTAGATGCTGAGACGGGATTTGGCATTGTTTGGAATCGAGCGTGACTCCCCGAGGGCTATCCTCTTGTGTTCTTCGGACGAATCATGTGACAAGGTCCTCCTTTTCTGCTCTAGCGTTTAACACTGACTGCACTTTCTTTTTCACCTCCTATTAAGCTCTAGTCCTAGACCTAATCTCATAGGGCATATAGGTATTTCGTATGGCAAGTTACATCACAAGTTGTGCACAAGTAAAATCAAGTGAAAAATGCGGTGGTGATGCATCGGAAGATAAGGGAGGTTCGCTGAATGCTCCAATTGGATTGTTGGTTGGAACCCCTGAAGAGGTCCTTCAGCAAATCGAAGACGGCGATGTTATGACCACTGCAGTCAAGTACTTGGTATGCGCTTTTCTTTGTAATCAGTAAAAATGGTTTCGCTCTCTCTGTTGTTACTGTGAAGTCTCAATTGCATGTTAGTTCGCCATTATGCTGAATGATGGGATTAATTTTCCTTAGGTTTTGGATGAGGCAGATATCATGTTAGATGCTGGCTTGTTTCCCAAAGTACAGAAGATTTCAAGCCACTTGAAGAACTTTGCTGTTGAATCCGATGCTCTGCATTTTCAAGCGGTTCTAGTCATTTCAGCGATCTCGGAGGTATGTTGACTCCATTCTGATGTCATAACAAGTTGAAAACCCACAATCTGGCTGCCTGTTATGGTTAGCAAGGCTTCTGACTTCAAGCTAAACCGTTGGGCATAAGCTTGAGTATACTAAGGTTAAATTAATTAAACACCCTCTAGGCATCACCCTCTTGATGTGTTCCGCATGGATACAGGATCCCGACTAAACTGGTTGACATAGGTAGCTAATTGACCGATCAAATCTGCATTAAAATCCCAAAAATACGGTACCCCATGACCGGAGGCAATTTTCAGAATCAAGAAATCTATGCATGTAATTTGATTAGGAAACAAGGTTGGCAGAAACTGATCTTTGTTTCATACAAATACCAATGAACCACATTTTTTTTTCTTACTGATTTTTGAGTGCTGTCGTGCATAACAAATACCAGATACTAGAAAAACATGCTGTGGAGCGTCTGGAGCATGATCGAGCCGGTAAAGTGGCTGCAATGCTGCTGGAAATCGACCCGAAAGAAGTACTCTATCTGATTGAATCTCAAGATGCCTTGAGGAAGAAAGTGGCGAACGCTGTAGAGTCCCTTCATTTGGCTTCTTGATCATTGCATTTGGTCTAGTTTTGTAGTTTGTACATAGGTGTAGCCAGCGTACCGACGCAGGGTTCAAGACATTTCTTCATGATGCGAGCAATTGCATGCTTGTTCTTAGTAAGCCTTGGTTGCAACTGGTTTGTGCTCTCAGAGACTAGTGCTTTGACGAATTTTGAGGCGTTTCATTTAACATAATGTGTCCATTCTGAGGTTTTTAGCTATTCTTTCTTTGCACGTGGTGTTATGTCGTGATGGCAGAATAGAACATGAAATACTGAAACCGAAGCTTAGAACTCGATTTTGAGGCATGAAAAATTACTTACAAATTCAAATAATCCAGTTGAAACGAGAGAAAAACATTGCATCCTATTTCAAGGAATGCATAATTAAGAGTATGATCGGCATCGGTGCAAACACCTTTGGGCAATGCAAAGGTTGAGGCATTACATGCCTGCTTGTCTACATCTAGTCGCGCTTTAGCCGGGATGGATCCTTTGGAGCATCTAGTTGAAAAACCTGCATTGACCGGAAGATTTTGCCAGCAGTTTTTTCTAAAAGGCGTGGAAATTCTTAAGGGACTTTGTACACCGAGGAAGACAATGCAATTCTCATATAATGAACGAAATAAAGTAAAGTTTTTCATGGTAATTATCTTATGATTGAATGTTCTCATAGCTGACCTGCATATCACATTTAAATTCATATGATTTTTCATACGCCAGTCATTCGAATTACTTTTATAATTATTCAATTTTGTAAATACTAAATAATCTGATTATTTTGCGCATTTGAAAGGTATTTACTTTTTAATTGGCCTAATTCAAAAAAAAAAAAAAACACCAACTTTAGCTTGAGTGACATTCAACTTTTTTTGTCTCATTACAAATCACCAACTATCACTTAAATTTCAAATTTGGCCATTTTGACTTAGAATCGAATTGTCTAATGTGATTATTCCATCTCCGCAATAAATTCATTATGTTTGCTAGCTAGATTTAAAACACTATTTATTATCTTTTTTTCTGGGCCACAACTTGCAAAATAATGGAGAAGTTGTTTATGATCTTTTTCACTTCACCGGCAAATCAAAAAGATCTCTAAATTGAATCTCTCCAGCCAGCCTCCATCGTTTCGTCGTAATATAAAGTTGGGGACCATCACCCTCTGAGAGACATCATGAACGAGATCCGCCAAGCTCATGACCAGAATTTTTTTTTTGAAACAAGCCCAAGCCCTCCCTTTGGAACTTCGAAGTCTACGTCAAATGGACATTAATCAATTGATCTCATTTAATATATCGAGTTTTAATGATGGACACTAATGAATGGATTTTGTTAGGAAATATAGTAAATGAGATTCTAAAGTTGTGCCTTGCCAAAGTACTCGTAACAATCTACAAGATCTCAAGCTTTGGTTAACGGCGAGTAAAAGTTAGTGATTTTTATTGAGATAAGAAAAAGTTCGGGTCAGAATTATCACCAAAGTAAAGTTGGTACTGGGACTTTATAGGGAGTCGATTGTGAAAAGAGAGAAAAGTCAGGGACCCAATTACAAGTTGCACGAGAATTTTTATACCAGAATGGACCTCGAGGGTTTTAAGTTAAACCCATGATGAATCGGAGCGAGACGTGAACACGGACATTATCCACACGAGAGAGGTTTTGCCGTCGTCGTCCACCGTCGAGAGTCGCGAAGAAGAAGAAGAAGAAGAAGAAGAAGAAGAAGATCGCGGGTGCGGGCGCGTGCCCATTTCCGTCGCCGGGCGCGACCCCAAAGTTCGCGCAAACTTCCGTTGCACCGCCGCAGACGACGGCGAATCATGGGGTGCACGGGCCGAGCAATCTTGTCCCTCTCCCTCTCCTCCAACCTCCTCCCTCTCTCTCGCCTCTCCTCCGCCAGGCGCCTCGTCAGATTGTCGACGCCCGCGACGGCGGCGGGGACGTCGCTGGCGAGGCTCAATCTCAGGCCCATGTGCTCCTCCGCCGCCGCCGCGCCGGCGACCGTGGAGTCGGACGCGGCGATTGAGCCCATGAAGCACACGATGCTTCTCGAGAGGCTGAGGCTGAGGCACTTGAAGGACGCTCCAAAGCCGCAGCAGAGTAGGAACCCAGAAAGCAAGAGCGGGAGTGGAATGACGAGGAGCCCAAAGGAAGAAGCTTTTGAGGTGAAGGGGGAGAAGAAGAAGAAGATGGTGGCGATGGTGGGGAGTTTCGAGGAGCTGGGGCTGAGCGAGGAGGTGATGGGGGCTGTGAGAGAGATGGCGATTGAAGTCCCCACTGAGATTCAGTGCTTGGGGATTCCTGCCGTTTTGGAGGGGAAGAGTGTGGTGTTGGGCTCTCACACTGGCTCTGGCAAGACTCTTGCCTACTTGTTGCCTCTTGTTCAGGTATATATATATATATATATTCGCTCAGTTGTGCTTAGCTACGGATACCCTTCGTGGTTAAGTCGAATTTGGTGCTGTTTTGTTTGCCAGTGTGGTTAGATTTGAATAAACCCTTTGAAAATGTGAGTTGGGTCGTTCGTTTCGACTTGGAGAAGTGTTTTTTGGCATTAAGTTACTTCAAGGATCCAATTTTTTTTCATTTAATGGACTGAGCCTTTTCCTGCTTTCCGGATTTGGGGCTTACCCTACCATTGGATTCCGCTCCTTTGCGGTTTTTCTTTGTGCTTAAAATTCGCACGCAAGTTGTAAATACTGCCCTATATGTTGATCCGTGTGTTCGGTGCGAGGAAATATCAATTTCATAGGTTTATGTTGTAGTTGCTGAGAAGGGATGAGGAGCTTTATGGGAGGTTGATGAGGCCTCGGCGACCTCGAGCGGTGGTTCTTTGCCCCACTCGCGAGCTATCTGAGCAGGTAGTTCTTCACTTGCCGTTGTAATTTTTTAGTAACTTCACTTATTCACTTCTGTTAATCGGTTTGAAATTTAAATGTTGGGCAGGTCTTCCGAGTGTCCAAGTCTATAAGCCATCATGCGCGTTTCAGGTCCACTATGGTGAGTGGTGGTGGCCGGATAAGGCCCCAAGAAGATTCATTGAATAGCCCCATCGACATGGTAGTGGGGACTCCTGGCAGGCTTCTCCAGCACATCGAAGAAGGGAACTTGGTGTACGGTGACATCAAGTACTTGGTAAATTTTGCTTTGTATTGAATTATGCCATTTGTTTCTTTTTTTTTGGTAAGGGCCATTTGTTTCTTTCCTTACTATAATTGTTATATTTGTTGAAGGATTATATTTAGGATGTGGATCCATAATCATCTGAGAATTCAAAAAGAAAATGTAAAGTTGGTTTCATGATTAATTGAGCTTTCTTTAGGTTTTGGATGAAGCAGATACTATGTTCGATCGTGGCTTTGGTCCCGACATTCGTAAGTTCCTTGGTCCACTGAAAAATCGAGCACTAAAATCTGATGACCTGGGATTTCAGACTGTTTTGGTAACTGCCACAATGACTAAGGTACACATCCATTTTTATGATCATCTTACCTGTTTTCTCTTCTAAAGGTTTTTTGTTGTTTTTTTACTTCGTTTTTTTGGGGGCAGGAGTGCAGAACCAACTGCACCACTGTTTTTCATTGTTTAAAAGACCCAAACTCTAGGGTTTTTTTTGTGTGTAGTCGTCATATATCTAGAGTGTAATTGAATTGTTTAATCCTACCAATTCATTTGAATCATCAAAAACTTTAACAGATCTCGGTCTGTTGTATATTTAGTTCATAGAATGAATTGTACTCTTATCTTGCGGTTTACAATGAATTCTTTGTGACCTTTAGTCGCTGTCATCTTCTTCTATCCCTCATTCTTTTGATAGCATTGTTGCTACTGAACTTTAAAAACATTCTTGAGAGTCTTGATTCAACTAACACTTCAATTCGCATATGAGTTTATTTAGGAAAATGTAACCGTTTATGCTCAATGAGATTGGTCTGATCTTTGAAGATGTTCCCAAAAATATCTTGTAGTTCAATATGCGAAAATTCATATTTATGCTCGATTTGTTGGTTTAGTTTTTGAAGATGTTCCTAAAAAATATTACTTTCGCAGTATTTATTTATTTTCAATTTGGAGGCTTATTTCCGTTATGTTTATGGACATTAGACTCAAAATGTGCTATTAGTACAAGTGTTCACTTTCTTTCGGTGGATTGATTCTGTCCAAACAAGTGTCAGAGCTGACTGCTGTAAGTTTTGCAGGCTGTGCAGAAGCTGGTTGATGAAGAGTTTCAAGGAATAGCACATTTACGTACATCTACACTGCATAAGAAAATTGCATCTGCTCGCCATGACTTCATTAAAATTTCGGGTTCTGAAAACAAGCTCGAATCCTTGCTACAGGTCCATATTTATTGCACTTCTCAGTTTTTCCTATTAAGATTGTGAGGTCTAATTTAATTATGCCACAGCTAATCAACTGATTTCACATGTTTCTATATCACTGGTATACATGATTTCGTTGTTAAATTCATGTATATCTGATGGACTATCTGAACTTATATTCGCATTCTCTTTATCATCCTCAAATATGGTTCAATAAGCCTTTTATGTACATTGTGTTGATTTGGGTTACTGGCGACTCCTTTCTTTATCAATCTCATTGACTCTTTGAGATGAAAAAAGGGAATGGGGTCTGCTTATGCAAGAAGAGTCAATATGTGCAAGTGTTTGATCCTGACATATGTAAATGATTTTCTGTGTGTTGTGGAAGCGAGCTGTTGCTTCAGATGGGATTCATCTTTTACCAGGACGGAAATTTTTTGAAGGACATGCTTGAAATTAGACTGGGGATATTTTATCGTGCAAAGTGCAAAATAACTTACCTCGGTGTTATGTTACTGCAAGAGAAGAATCCAGTGATATGTGGTGTTTGAGATATGCATCTCTTTACTCGCATATCAGTTATCGTATTCCAAAAGGTCTTTCTAAATTAAAAAGTTGGGTTGAACAACTGAAGTTTCCTTTTTGGTGTAAATGAGCTTTCCTTGTGATCATCTGTCTGGTTACTTTTATAAGTTCGCTTCTGGCTGCAAGCACTTCAAAAACCATTGTATTTGAAACGTCCAACTCATTACACCAAATGTGGAAGAGTATATTTAACAAGTGCCTCAATGTGGGAATGAGGACACATAGATGTCTCACTTTGATTTCGTTCTTACGTGGAGGCAGGTCCTTGAGCCTAGCTTGGCAAAGGGAAACAAAGTGATGGTGTTTTGTAATACTCTGAATTCCAGTCGTGCCGTGGATCACTTTCTCCATGAAAACCAAATCTCTACTGTCAACTACCACGGAGAAGTGCCGGCTGAGCAGAGGTAAGTTAACGATAAGCACATTTTCTACCCCTTGTCTTTTTCTACTTGCAGCCTTCAAATGGTAATTGACTGCTTTTTTCCTTTTTCATTAACTTTAAAGTTGTTGTATGAGAACTGTGATCACAGAGCACCTAGAAATTTGATTTACATTGCTCATGGATATCCCTTTCCGGGCCCGTGGATGTGTTCAATCAGTATTAACTCCGCTATAGCCTGCCTGTCTTCTTCTGATTTTCCAGAATCATTTTGAAGCTCTAGCTTTAAATGCTTATAAGTAGTATTCTCTGCCAATATCAGAGTTGAAAATTTGAAGAAATTTAAGAATGAAGATGGAGATTGCCCTACATTGGTCTGCACAGATTTGGCTGCTAGGGGACTGGATTTGGACGTGGATCATGTCATCATGTTTGATTTCCCACTGAACTCTGTAAGCTCTGTCTCTCATGCGCACATACAAATACGCACAGACAAACTAACTCTCTCTCTTGACTTTTAGATCGATTACCTTCATCGCACCGGAAGAACTGCTCGAATGGGTGCAAAAGGTGGGTGGCAATTGCTTATGTAGAGTGTAGCAACCTTAATGACTCTCCTATAGTAAACTCTACTTAAAGTACATCATGCTCTTATACCTAACACTTCATTACATCTGAAACAGAAGGTTTGCTTGGAGAGCTGGTCAAGTCATTTTTGGCTAATAACCGTCTGACGCTTGCAGATTTCCTACTATAATGAACTCTTTCTTTAAACTAAAGTAGATTTTCATGGCAATATATTATCAAGTGCAAGAAGGGCGGGAAAAAGAAGGCACTGGACCTTAGGGATGCCGATATATAATTCTGAATCTAGCTGCCCTTCATTTTTTGCTGGAAAGTTATGTCTGCTTATGCATGTATCCTATTATCATAAAGACGATATTAAGGAGCTAATTTATACTTTTTTATACCGATAGCGATGGCATGGGTCGACTACCCATCGTCTCTTCAAGGAGTTAAGAGCTCAAATATGCATCTAAACAACCTTTTTCTTTTCTTTCTACAGGAAAAGTGACAAGCTTGGTTGCAAAAAAGGACCTTCTTTTGGCCACTCGGATAGAAGAAGCAATCAGGAAGAATGAGAGCTTGGAAGCTCTTACTGTGGACAATGTCCGCAGGGACATGGCTAGGGCACGAATAAGCGAACCGAAGGGGAAGAACACCAAATTGAGTAAGGTAACGGATCAGAGAAACAAGGGCAAAACAGCAGCCAATAAATCTTCTATCTCTCGCACTAAGGCGGTGTCCTCGCAAGTTTCTGGAAGGAAAACCACTGGAACAAGAGCTGGGACAACATCATCCTTGCAAATTTCTCGCACTAAGGCAGTGTCCTCGCAAGTTTCTGGAAGGAAAACCGCTGGAACAAGAGCTGGGAAAACATCATCCTCACAGATTTCTGTAAGGAAAACCGCTGGAACAAAAGCTGGGAAAACATCATCCTCGGCCAAACTGTCGAGGGCAGTTAAGATTTCAAAAGTGACGAGGCCTTCCGGTGTTGGTAAGTCTGCCAAATCGACGTCTAATGGGAGGAAACTAACGCAAAGCAAATCTGGCAAATTAAGTGTAGTTGGGTTTAGGGGTCGGAATTCTTCGTTGAGCAAGAAAGTAGTCGATGCTTAACTGCTTTGTGGCACCCCCAAAAAATAGAAATGGATCTGTAAATTGATTTAAGTTGTCATCTTTTTCCCTTTTCTTCTTGAGATTGGTTTAAAATCGGAGGTCCTGGCAAGGAGTAAGAATCAAAGAAAAGAGAAATCCTGGTCAGAGGATTGTTTGTTGTAAACTGTTTCCATGTATGCGGATCTTTACCTCAACTCTATTTCCAACATTTGGTGCTCCAACATTACATAGAGTTAAACATACATTCAGAATCAGAAGACACTTGCTTGGTACAATGTAGGATAAAAGCACGTCGATTGAAATTACATGTCACTTCACTTCCATGTCAGTAACAGAGGGCGAGGAACCTTCGGAGGGGTGACTACTTTCCCGTTGGCATCGTAAATTATCACCCCGGAAAAGTCGGGTAGCTGACACTTACCGCCCATGAGAATGTTCCTCTGCCACACCGAGGCAGCGGAGGCGGTGGCTTCTTCTTCATTAGCTCCGGCATCCATAAACATGCTGTCCTCACGGTCTGCTCGCGACTCCAAGATGAACGTGTCGTTGTGGAGTTCAATGACGGGCTGCTCCTCCTCGAAGAAGCCATAGCACTCTTGCCAGTGCCGCCGCCGCCTCCGGGAATGAGAGGCGCACATGAACAGCGCGAAGGCACAGAGGAGGAGGGTCATCGCGACCAGGCCGAGCTGGGGCGCGCCCGTTGCCGGGTGCATCGACCGGAGCGGGCGAGCCATGGGAGGGAGGAGGGTCTAGGGGAGCGTGTGATGGATGGAATTCAGGGCGACAAAGCACACATATATATACTGATGCCAAATGGGGTTCGTTAGATTAGATGAGAATGGAGGATTCGGTGATGGTTTGGTTCAGGTCAAGGCGATTGACATCATCATCGTTGTGGGGGGTTTGGTTCAGTTCTTATCTTTGACATTCCAAGAACTCATCAGGTTGACTTCAGCTGGAATTGATTGTTAAACCAGGATTTGACTTTCTGACTGGGGTGTGATTTTCGAATTCCAACGATACCCTCTATCCAATCTTCTTGGGCCTTCAAGATTGTGGGGCTTGTTCCTCAGAATCGTCCTTGTGGTTCTTGGGCTGAAGAGTGGTGTTCGCAGAGGCTCTTCTTGGCCACTTTCATCAGCTACACGCCATGGTGGAGATGTGAATTCGTCTCAATCCAAAAGGGTCTGCGTCTCTGCCCAGAAGCTTTGCTGAGATCACGGAAATGGCTCCGCAGGCCCCAATCTCGCTCTGCAAATCCCTCCTCCGACGGAGCTTGCGAAGACCGCCTCCGCAACCCCGGTCTTCTTCCGCTTCATCTTCCCTCGCTTCGCTCTCGCCATCCCTGAATCCACTCAATCCCCGCTACCTCGGTTCGTTCCGGCGCTCGCCCGGTTCCCACCTCGGACCGGGCCGGAGGGGGCTCGGCACCGACCCGGGCGCCGGCCCGGCACCGGAGTACGACGCGGAGGTGGACGCGATAAACCTGAAGTTCGCGGAGGCGAGGGAGGAGATCGAGATGGCGATGGAGTCGAAGGAGACGGTGTACTTCGACGAGGAGGCCGAGTGCGCCAGGGCGGCGGTGAAGGAGGCCGTCGACCGGTTCGAAGGGTTGCTGCGGAGGCTCCCGGAGGCCGAGAAGGGGGCGCTGCAGCGGTCCATGGGCCTGAAGATGGAGCAGCTCAAGGCCGAGCTGGAGCAGCTCAACGAATGAACTTTGGATCCTCCGGCTGGCTCCGGTTGGTGTACTCTGCTCTATCACTCTAGCTAATTTTGTTGCTCGAGAATTCTTGATCAAATCGAGGCGGTTTCTGATTTTTTTTTTCCGGGTACTTGGACAAGTGAATGGTTTTTGAGGAGAGCTTGCGAAGTACATTTGTTTAGAGGATGTTGTCGTAGTTTTAGGCAATAATGCAGCGGGTTTTTGCACTGTCGGTTCGAAACTCTGTATTGTTGGTGATTGAATCTTTGCCTATACCCTTTGATTTGGTTGGGTGAAAATGGCAATGGACATTGTCGACAAAACGGCGAAGCATGGCCTCTTACCAAGAATGGAGCTAATTGATTTTGTTCTGGGATCAATGTTGCTTCTGGCATTTTGCATTTGAATGAACTGAATCGTAATGCGGTGATAGATATGTTAAGCCTTTGTATGTTCTCAACAGGAGTTGGGGTTTGCGGGTATGTTTGCATGTGATGAGACAATTAGGCATCCATGGAGGCGGTCGTGCATAGTCGTTACCTTTTTTTGTCGCGGTTCTCATATTTAGAATCCGAGAATAGTGGCCGATTAGTTGCTTCCCTCTGATGTTTGTGCTTCATTCATGTCTATTACTCGGATAAGTTTGTTTCAGAGTTCTCGTTCCTGAAGTTGCTTTGTACTATCATAGCTCGCTTGCTGGTAAGCCTTTTGAATTTGGTAACATGTCGACTTCGACTCAAACCCTCGGATTCGTCCCCTTGAATGGGTCGGGAAGAGAGAACCATCTGACAAGGTCTTCTTTGATGTTAGAGACCTGTGTGCTCTGAACTCTTTCTTGTGTTTTCAAATTTACCCGTCATGTTCAGCCGACTGTTCTCGTGCTCTTTGATAAGTAGGAAGGAACCGAACTTGATTCACCGTTGGTCTTAATGAGGATTTGACCCCAATTAATACCATTCAAGTTTTTCCCTAGATCGGCGGTGTTTCTGCATCATCTGGTCAAGATAATGACAATGTCGAATAGAGGCATGTAGTTTTTGTTGAGTGATTTCCAGTTTCCCTGAAGTATAGCAAGAGATGTAATGTCAACTTGTTGTTTAGTAACTTACCCCTTATGGTATGCATATGGAATGTGTGGCATTGTGCTCTGCTGCCCAGCATCTTTTAAGTGCAAAAAGGGATCAAGTGAAGTCTTTTTTAGCCAGAAGTGCTCTGAGGGCCTTCGTTTGGCTGAAAATACTCTAATCGACTGCACTTATTAGCTACTTTCATCTCTCATTTGGCTTAAAACTTCTGAATGCTCCTCCATTCAATGAGTAGAAAACTGAAAACCACATACATATGGAAGAAGTGAGAATGAGCTGAGTAGAGATTGTTGGAGAGTAGTATATGGTGAGAAAAAGCTCAGTGTCGCCATTTCTTGTTCCCCTAAAGCATTTTGCGGCATTGATTTTGGTGGATGAAACGCCATTGGTAATTGGGAACTGTTAGTTTTAACATAGGTTTGGCGAAACTATTGTTTCCAACATCACAAGAGAACAAACATAAAACACTTTAGTTGTGAACTCATCGTTTGAGGCGGGCAAGAGCAACGTTGATCCTAATCCGCTAGTCGAATGTCAAGAAGGCATAGATCTGCCAACATAAACGCTATGTACCTAAAGAAACTATGGGATGACTGCATCCATGTGTTTCCAACGTCGAACTGCCCATATCTTCCTGACTTGTTTTGGTTTCGCATTGCAATCAAAACCGACTGAGGCACTGAACTTATCGATAAGGCCAGGAAATTGCACGTCAGTGTAAGGGATATGAATCGCCTGGTGCTGTGCAAAACTGCTGAGATTAAACGGATGAATGTTGCCCCGGTGATGAAACCTCGGTTCAGAATGGACGCTTTTCTAAAACTTCATCCTCCGATTTCTATCTAGACGCTGTATAGTTATTGGGATTGGCAAAACATCCCAGTTCATCGGAGGAAGTGTATACAAAGTTATTCAATCCAACTTGGTAAAAATGGAATTCAAACTTGGTCGAGCATTCATGGCAAAAGCATCGAATGTTCGACCACCAATGATCGAACGCCCGGGCTTGAAAATGCGTTTGGTTGGGTTTTGCATTTTTGTCAATTATATCATGAAAGATCTTGATTTAATACATGCAACATATACTTACAATGGAGATAATTATCCAAAAAGTCTTAAACCTATAGACGGCTGTCAATTTAGTCCTAAACTTTTTAATATGGCCAAAATTAGTCTTAAACATTTTGAAAATTTGCCAATGTAGCCCTTCCAGACAAAATTGACTGTAAATCACTAACGTAACTGCCGGCTGTTCAACATAGTACGGCCGGTGCTAACATATATGATTTTTTCCAATTTTTTAAAATTTTTTATTTTTATGAATTTTTAATTCTTCTCTTTTCTTTTCTTTTTCCTATTCACATGCCAGAAGGGTCAGCAAGGGTCGCTAGGACCTCAACAATGGCTAGCCACAAGCGAGGGCCCGCATGCACTCGCCCAATATGGGCGACCCTCGCCCTCGACTAGCTCTAGCCGGCTGAGATGGTCGACTGTTAGTGTATGAGCAAGCTATAGAGATGGCTTTCGTGGTTGGAGAAGGGGCTACGGGTGTCGTTTTGCTATTCAGCTTCAACGCTTTGGGAAGATGAAAAATAACAACAAAAATGAGAAAGAAAAAAATGAAAAATAAAAAAATTCATAAAATTCAAAAAAGTATGCAAAACAATGCCGTTTTGCTTAAATTCTTCCACATAAGACGTCGATTATGCCACGTAGGGCGATGTTTTTAACTGTGCCTCCATGTCCCTAGCCTAAATCGCCGGAAGGATTATATTGAAAAATCATTAGAAGGTTTAGGGCCAAATTGGCAAAATTGAAAAGTTTAGAACTGAATTGGCCACCATACAATAAATTTAGGACTAATCGGGTAATTTTCCCCTTTATCGTTAATTTTTTTTTACCGAATTTTGCCTTTGATTTGCATTATGTACTATATATATAAGATGATAGTAGAGTAATTACGGACTAATTTATGTAAAAGATGGATCCAAATCACCCATTACAATATGTCATAGAATGTATACACAACAATGGATGGGATCTAGATCAGACAAAAAAGAGAATGGAGAAAGGCCTGAAACACTACTGTAGGGGCGGGTGCCAATGGTTGGGAAGGAACTCTGAGCCTTCAGATGACCCAAAATATCATATCATATTTATCAAGGACTGAATTTTAGATGCATGATTTCCAAGGCAAAGAGACACCGGAAAACGAGGAAGGCCCGTGGCTTTCTGCGACAAGCTGAGGTAAACAATCAAAAAGCAAAAGCTGCTTCCCCATGGCGGGAGCTCATGTGATGTCTATACGAAGCCTGAAAGTGCATGGCATGCCCCCTCGAATCTTTTCAAGCTTTTGTAGCTGATAAGCAGGTCATGTCGCGGGGTTCAGAGGGCTGACAACGAGGAGTGTTGGGACAAGGATACTGGTTTTCAGTGAACGTGCCCGCCGATGGTCGCTCATGCGGCGCTCGAGTCCTTGCTGTCTTCGTGCGAAGGGACATCAAATGATGACGGTGCGATTTAAGGTTCAATGGAGGAGAAGAAATTGTAAGCAGCAAGCGCCTTAATAGGTAGCGAAGTCCCAGGTAGTCAGCTACGTGATTGTGCAGAGATGATTCATTTTGCTCCTGTTGGTCATCTTCAGGTCGCAAAAAGAGAGATTGGTGAGATGACATGCTGGATTCCGGGGCACCTCGTGCGATCCTCTTTTTGACCAGAGAGATCGAAAGCTATCTCATGGACCGGCTCGAGTTTAACACTCGGACATGATGCGGAGACAAATCAAAAGAGTGTTTTTTTGGGCATGTACCAAAGGTGAGGGAAGGCATGGGCTTCTTGCCTCGTCCCTGTCTGCTCCTCCCCTGCACCATGCCCTGACCAAAAGCAAAAGTTACAAATATTAAAGCCTAAGGCCCACATTGATCTTAGTAATTGATTTTATCCGTCACATTAGCAGCTCCAAAGGGACTCGCTGAATGTTAGCCATCGAGAACACTTGCGGTGTATGAATTCTTTGCGGGGCCTGGCCGCGGGAAGTTGCGCTGCGTATAAAGAAGGACTTGATCTTGAAAGAGAGCCAGCTCGAGGAACCGCCTCACTTTCTCCAGCATGCCGCACACTTCGCTTGTGTTCATGTCTAGGACTTGCCTTTTCCTTTGCTTCCCAATCGCCATTCTAACCGGACCATCCCACGCTTCATCTGGGTCTGCTGATCAGTTCAAGCTTTAAGCTCCACCAAGAACCCCGCCAAACTTCCACTGAACAAACCAGTCCACATGCAGACTAATGCAATTGAATCTGATTCATGCCAATGCCGGTTTAGCAACATCCCAAGCTTTTGGTTTACTATTTTCCAGTTCTTGAACGAGTTATGTAGTGTCCTTTTTCGTTTTTCACAGCCAGCTTTTTATTCTTGAATGCAGGAGGGAATGACAAGATCATTAACCCTTCATTAATTCGAGACACGCTGGAGAATTTCTTTTCTGTTGGATGGTCTGCTGCATTCCGTAACAAAATGAAGAAGCCCAACGATAAAAATTAAAGCAAGGAAGAAGAAACAGGCAAGAAAAGTAAAGGATGAAGAAAATCAATGACATTGCCGCATCTAAAAACTGTACAGACCCAAGACTACCCCATTCTAATCTAATAAATCATGGCCTAAAGCATCCTACCCTGTCTTTCTCATTCAACAACTCTCGCTTTATGCATCTCGGGGTCGAAAGGCGAATCGAATTACCAATGTCTTTAACAGTTACAGAAAGAAAAATTAACGTCTAAACTAGCTCTGTGTCGACGATGGCTTTATCAGCGGTTGAGAGGTCTTCCCCCACTCTTCGGGCACACTCTTCACCTCCATTAGCAGCGCCACGACCTCCTTCATGGTGGGACGCTCCGCTGGCGAAGAGTTCACGCAGAACATCGCGATCCCGAGTGTCTGAAGCATCTCTTGCACCATCTGATCCGGTAGGCTTTGGAGCTTCGTGTCGAGGATTGTCACGGCTGGTTCGAAACTTCCCATCTTCTTCTTCACCCATTCGACAATGTGGAGCCCATCACCCGCCTGGGACTCCACGGCGCTGCGCCCGCTTAAAATTTCAAGCAAGACCACTCCATAACTATAGACATCACTCTTCTCCGTTATGTTCATTGTATATCCATACTCTGCATAGAAATGATGAAACATCCATTAGATACTGCTCAAAAACTGAACGCACATTTTAAATGAGTCGATGGAGCATGATTTCTACATTTTCCCAGCACTGACCCAGAGCCAATAAGAGAAGAAAAATTACAACTCGAACATAGTTAGTTCTTGTCAGAACAAAATTTGATGTGGCAAGAACCTAACATCGATCGAGACATGTTGAAGTCTCTAACCTTATGCGTACAAATGCCATTGTTAGTATTAGCACCTGGAAGATCGACCAATATACAAGAAGGAATTTATGTATGTGGATGAGTATTGAAGTTACCTGGGGCAATATAGCCATAAGATCCAGCAACTCTTGACATCGCGTGACGGTAGTTTGGAGAATTCATCATTTTAGCCAGGCCGAAATCTGCGAGATAAGCCTCGAACTTCGAATCCAGAAGTATGTTATTGCACTTGACATCTCTGTGAAGTATCGCCGGAGCGCAATCATGATGAAGGTAGGCAAGACCCTGTGCAGATCCCACTGCAATCTTATAACGAATTTCCCAATCCAAGTTCCTATTTCCCTGGAGAAGCTGCCTCAGATTACCATTGGATATGTAATTGTAAAGCAAGAGCTTCACGCTCTTATTAGAACAATATCCCAGGAGCTTCACGATGTTCCGATGCCGAATGTGCCCCAGAATTTGAATTTCCGCAGCGAAAGAATCCACTGCCAGCTCCTCGTCGTGTTTTGTTTTCCAGAGCTTCTTCACTGCAATTATTTCCCCGTTTGGCATTTCCGCCTTATACACAACTCCCGAGCATCCTTTGCCAATAACATTCTCCTCTCGTAGGCACTCCAAGATATTATCCATGGTAAAGTTGAGCTTTTGGAATGGTATGAAAGTCCATGGAAAGGAGAAGTCCTCTGCACCCGACGATGAGGCCAACATCCCTAAAGATTTTTCAACCATGTATCGATTATTTCGAGTCACCAAGATCCACGAAGCAAGGAGCGCTACAGTCAATATAGCTAGTATGACAGTAATCAAAGCTACGGTTGTAGCTGATTTTAACCCATTTCTGCGAAAGAGGCCAGTGGAACAAGTCGATCCGTCCATTGATTGGCAAAGGTTATGGTTTTCTAGGTAGGAACTTCCTGACAAAGTTCTGAAGAATGGGGTTATTGGTATTGGACCAGAAAAATTGTTACAGGAAATATTTAGGGTAGTAAGACTGGTCATGTAACTCAAGACGGCAATTTTACCAGACAGCATATTTCGTGACAGATCAAGCGATTGCAGTTGGGTCAACCCAGCCATTGACTCAGGAAGTTCTCCGGTCAACCCATTCGAGCTCAAGTCCAAACCAATAGTAAGGCTCGTGATATAACCGATCTCAGGTGGGATTGTACCTGTGAAGCTATTAAAGCTCAGATCAAGCAGAGTCAGTTTCTGCAAATTTCTGATTGATTTCGGGATCGACCCTGTGAGCAAATTATTGTTGGCAATGAGCTTATTCAAGTAACTCAAGTTTCCGAAGCTCGAAGGTATTTCGCCGGTGAAGCTGTTCTGGCTGAGATCAAGCTGCTCTAAGTTTACTAACTCCCCTAACTGAGGAGGAATTACTCCAGTTATGTGATTGCTGTGCACATCCAACAACTCAAGAACTGTGATATTGGCCATCTCCTGAGGAAGCCCGCCAGAGAAATGGTTCATGTACAAGTCGAGAAACACAAGGTTCTGCAACTGTCCAATTTCTTTTGGAATGCGACCCGAAAGCTGGTTTTCTCCAAGCCTCAACCTCACCAGTGACTGACACTTTGCTAGGTTTGGTGGCAACCCTCCTGTTAGCGAATTTCCTAATAGTAAAAGCTTGCTCAGCTTCTTCAAACTGAAAATCTCTTCTGGGATAGAACCAGTGAGCTTATTTCTCGAAAGATCGAGTGCATAAAGCTCGGTGCAGTTACCAAAAGCGGATGGTATCGTTCCAGAAACTGAATTTCCCCACAAGAAAAAACTCTGCAAGAACTTCAAGTTGCCGACTTGCCACGGAATGTTGCCTGACAATTGGTTCTTATCAAGCTGAAGCGCAGTCAGGCTTGTGCAGTTGCTCAACTGCCAGGGGATTGAACCTGTGAACGCATTATCAGACAAGTGAAGCTGTTCAAGAACTATCAACTTCCCCAAATCACCGGGGATTTCACCGGAGAGATCATTGGCTGAGACATCAAGGACAACAAGCGACGAGCAATTCGAAAGTTGAGCCGGTATAGGCCCAGTTAGCCCATTCCCCCACAAAAGCAAGCTGGTGAGCTTCTGCAACTTGCCCAGTTGGGGAGGGATTGGACCAGTGAGCTTGTTCATGTGCAGATACAAATTCGTGAGCCCGGAACACGACCCGAGCTCGGGAGGGATCGGACCAAACACATCACTATCATAAAGTGCCAAAGTTTGGAGATTTACCAAGTTCCCAAATGTGGGAGGTATCACACCAGAGAGGCCAGTAGCAGCAGCACCAAAGGTGGTCAAATTGGTGAGTAGCCCCAACTGCGCTGGAATCTCCCCTGTTAAATATGGGTTCCCACCAATTCTGAACTGCTGGAGAGAAACCAAAGAGCCTAACTGGGATGGTATTGACCCATTGAGGAGATTGTCTTGGATACAGAGCACTTGCAGTGCAGTAAGGGTAGAGAGCTGTGAAGGGATAATGCCAGTGAGCTTGTTGGAGTTCAAGAAAAGGAACTCAAGTGAAGAGAGCTTGCCAAGCTCAGGGGGTATTGGGCTAGAGAGAGAGTTGGAAGAGAGGTCAAGAAGCCTAAGGTGCGAGAGCAAGCCAAGAGAAGGAGGGATTGTTCCTGAAATGTTGGTCGAGGAGAGATTGAGGAGTTGAAGGGATGAGAGAGATGATATATCTTGAGGCAGAGAGGAGAGATTGAGGAAAGTATTGGGCAGAGACAGAGAGATAACTCTATCCTGAGGAGAGCAAGTGACACCTTGCCATGAACATGGAGTCTGGCTTGATGGATTCCATGTGGAAAGGACTGGAGATGAAGAGGAAGAAGAAGAGCCCAAAGCAGTGAGGAGAGAGAGAAGGGCTTGGCCATCAGAAGAAAGAGAAGTGACTAGGGTTTTGGAGCTAGAGAACCAAATGAAGAAGAAGAAGGCCTCGAGGAATAAAGGGTTGGTGTCAAAATGGCTCCTTTTGGCCATGGAAGAGTCGAAATGTGGCCTTTGAGGTGGTGGTGAAATTAAGGGAATGTGACTGTTTGATCAAAAAATGGCGATTACAGTTTCTCGTTCTCTTTCTCTCTCTCTCTCTCTCTCTGCTTCTTCTTCTTCTCGGTAGTATCAACACAGTAATGACGGTGCAAGTCCACTCTTAGGAGACAAGTTCCATGTGAGAAAGGATTTTGTGGTGGGTGTATGTGGATGCTTATCTTTCACACAAAGCTTTTGAAACCATGCATGTGAGAGAAGGTCCAAGAAAAGAAAAAAACAAACTCCTTTCGAGTCATCGATGGGTGCTACAGCATGGAATTAAATGCAGTCATCAAGCTGTTAGAGAAGATGAAGAAGAAGACCCTTTCACTCTGCTTACCGGGAAAAAAGCTCCTCTACGGCCCGGCGGAGCAACGGCAAGTTTGATTCAGAGTTGGCGCTTTTCAAGACAGATGAATACAGAACGAGCTTGGGTTCAGTGTACTCCATCTGAGACGGCCATTGAAAAGAGTCGTTCGCAAGTGAAGAGAGAGTATGCAATCCTACGATGTATAGATATGAATGGGTTGTGAATGGGAGGAGCTCCGGTTCTCAAGAAGAAGCTCTCGTCTTTGCTTGCAGTCGCAGCTGAGACAAACGAAACTTTGGAATGGCGTTCAAATACCAGGAACTCCCCCTTCCTTGCTCCTTATACTTCTCATCTATATCATATTTCAAGAGAGAAGTATCACCTGTGCACTAATTTCAAAGAGGAGACTGCCCCACTTTTTTGCGCCAATTCTTCCACTTGAATCCACTTTGTTTTCGGATTCTTAATTACCCGGTTGCTTAGGGCCCGTTTGACAAGTTGCCAAATAGTAAAAATTTATGTTCTTTGTTCCCAGAAGAATCAGTTTGGGAATAAAAATCCGTTTGTTAAATTTTTTGTATCCGGGCACAATTTTGCAAAAAATTGTTCCCAAAATCAGTTTTGGAACAGAATCAATAAGCAAAAAAAAGTAGTTTCTTGATTTTGGAACAATTTTTTTATTTCTGATTCTTCTTGGTTTTCTTCTTTTTTTTAGTCTGCTGTTTTTCTTCTTCCCGGCTTGCCGCCGGCCACATGCCAGGGCTGGCGAGGGCGGCTCGCAGTCGCGACGGCGAGGCCTCATCTAGATTCGGCGAGGCCGACCTCGCCTAGCCCAGGCAAGGCCGACCTCGCCATCGCCACCCAGGCGATGGACCTGGGTGGCGATGGCGAGGTCGGCCTCACCTTGGCTGGGCGAGGCCCGACCTCGCCATTGCCATCGCCACCGGCGAGGCCGGTGGCAAGGGCCGTGACGCCCTCGCCGGCCCTGGCCTGTGGCTGGTTGCCAGCGCTGGCCATGGCCAAGGAAGGGAAGAGAAAGGAAAGAAAGAAAGAAAGAAATATTAAAAAATTTAAAATATTATTAAGATATTATTAATAAAATGAAATTTTGTGTAGTTACCAAACGCATTTCTGTTTTTTTTCTATTATAAGAATATAAATTTTAGACAATTACCAAACGTTTTCAAATGCTTAGAAATTGTTTCCGAGCATGGAATAAAAAAGAATAATTTGTGAGCAAAATCTATTTCCGTGCACTAAATCGTTGCCATGCGCACCCTTAGCAGCTTCTCCCTAATTAAGTCCCCTAGCTATTTCGTTTGTGTCTCTGTTGAGGTTAGAATATGGGGATTGTTTTTTCCATTCCATTTTCTTTTACTGCCGGGGGTTTTGCAATACAATTTAAATGAAGTTTATTCTTCATCAAGTCAATATAGAGATAAGACATGATCTAACATTTAGTTCTATCGGTTGATCATTTAAGAGAAAGGAAGCTTATGCACTTATTCTCGATATGGAGTCGAAGGTCTTAATCTTTATATACATAATGCAATTGAATACTAAACCCTTCGATTAGCATGATAGAGCTTTACCAGAAACGTATAATTTATCTCTAAACTTTTTAATTGATTCCATGGACAAGACTGTTGACAGTAGACAAAAAGAGCTTTCCGGTGAATTAGAAAGTCAAATAGGTAAAGATCTAGATGTTAATAAAGCTGTGATTCATTTCGCAACTATCTTCTTGTTAATTTATATGTTGCCAGTTAATTATATTTAACAATATGACTCTTGTAATTTTCTTGGTAGAGTGTAAAAATGAATGAATTCTTTGTTTTTTTTGCATGAAGTTGAATAAATACATGATGAGTAGAATTTACAGGAAATTACGACTATCAGCTTTTAAATAATTTCAAGTGATTGCGGTGTAATACATTTTAAGTTCCAACGTCTACATAATAGTCATAGGTAAAAAGACAGATACATAATCCATCGCAATATGACTCACCCACGGGTTTTTTTAAATAGTTCGGGTCTATTGGTTGTCAAATATCTTAACATTTAGAGATTATTACTTCTCGAGAAAAATGCATTAAATAGGAGAAATTTAAGGTGATATCAAAGCATGGCGATTTGTAAGTTTACCTCTACTAGTCACCATGTATGAGCATAGCTTTCTAAGTCTTCCTTTCTCTAAAATGGGGAGCAAGCGATGATCGATTTGGGCAAAGAGCGATGTCATATTGGAAAAGCACATAGAATTCCTCTTTCTCATTTGAGTAGGTAACAAAACCTAGAAAACTAATCGCGTAATTAAATATACAATGGGCACCATCTAACATCATATGCGACAATTTTTGCTGCCTTCTTATCTTTTTACTCCCACCAAAGTTCACAATCCCTTATGATACTCATTTGAAGGCGCACGGCTCAACAAAATCTTTTAGCATTCGCTTGAGTTTTGTAACAAACCAAGTACGATGCCTCATTAATAAAAACGTACCGTGTATGTACAATTAATGGGGGGAAATTTCATGCACAGTGATTACCAAATTAGGGTTTTTAACTCAAAGCAAGAACCGAGCACAAGATGGAGTAGGTTAATTATATTTTTTGGGTTTTTGTTAGCAAACAGGTACGGATGGGATCAAAAATTTCAGAGACACCATATGGGAGATCGTGGAGAAAATGGCAGAGCCTAGCTCCTAGGGAAGAGAAGGCCCAAAAAAAAGAATAAGAAAATGAAACTTTGGTGATAATAAGAGGGTGAGGCAAACTTAGGAGATTGTGAAAGGTGGTGAAAAATAAAAGGGTTAAAATGAAAGCAGCACCAGCAGCAGCAACTCTCAGTTCAATGTCTTTTTCCCACGGAATCATTATACAATTGCATTAGATAATGATGCATGTCGAATGCAATAAAGAAATGCTTGCCCTACTAACGTGGCCTGCCTCACAATGCATAAAGCTAGGGTTTTTTTTAATATAGCTGGGCGTGGATGTAGAGGGAAGGTCTCATTGGGGTGTGGTAAAAAATTTGTGCTCTGTTAAAAATTTTCTGGTTTTCATTGTCTTTTTATGGGTGTAAGCTGGTGAAATTAAAGTGTGATGGGTTTTGCGATTTGGTTTCCGAGGAAGAGGTGGTGGGTTTGTTTTGGGAGTGGAGCTAAAGAGCAAAACATTTAACAAAATAAAAAATTTCTACAGTCACATGAGAGAGAGAGAGAGAGAGAGAGGTTTTAAGGATTATATTAGGGCACAGGTCCCGATTAGGGGTTTAGGCTTTTGACTGCGTGCTAACAATTCAGCCGCACGAGACACATATATTAGACTTATGGGAAAAGAAATATTGAAGGTCTCTGCATGTGAACTTATGTGGTCGCTCGTTCTTTTTGGTAAATATTCTCCGAAGCTGTAGCATGTAAAGACGGGGAGGAACTTATGAATAGAGATGGGTGATGTTTAAGAGTTAAATTAACCCATAACAGCAAAGTAGGAATTTTACAGAGAACTGACTCATGTTGGAAGTTAAATTGATTTATAACAGTAAGTTAGGTACTACTACGTCAATACATTAATCAACTAATTTTGTAGCTGAATCTTAGTGGTTCTAGCATATGAAGGAAATTTTCTCCGCGTGAAGAAACCGTAGTCTTGTACGTCAAGCGGGAGAGTTTGTGAAGTTATCACTTGAGTAAAGATCCATATCGAAAGTACATAACTTAGATATCCCTTTTAGAGGCTCGATTCACATGGATCAACCTACAAGTGTGAAATAAATGCCGCTCAAGCACATGTGTTCACTTCCTCGTGTAATTGTGGAAAGGGTTTCGCCACGATAAATATTGTTCATTCAACTAGTTTATACATATTTTTGGGATAATAATAAATGCATAAAAAAACTAGCTTCGTCCACAATCATTTTACAACTTTTAATATGTAAACTAATGTTACAATAGTTACTCAGAAGAAGCTATTTAGGTTGTGAAAATAGCATGAGCTAATTTTTTTAAGTAAGAATATTAGTTTCTTTTGTCTAACATATACGGTTGTTTTGATTCTATTATTTATCGTATGCGTGTGAGTCCCAAATATACGCAGGTGAAGTCCCCCTCAAAGGCCAAACCTTGGATTCCATCATAAACTAATTAACAAATATTATCAGTTATTTATTAAGGTTGCAGCATCTTTTAGTAATATTTAAGTTGTGAAGAAATGTCTTCTGATCAAATTTTTTTAACATGTAAATTGGTGAAATGAAGTGAGCCAACTTTATAAGCTGTGAGAAAATATGGTGACTTGTATATAGTTATATAATATATGGTCAACTTATGCATGCTGTTCATTTCTGAAGTCTTAAGAAAATGTCAAAGACTTCAAGTTTATATCCAAACAGGAAATTGATGAAGACTTTTCTATGTTATAATGAGATGAATGCTTTTACAAGGATTGCAACTCCCGGATCAGCAATCTCAGCTTTAAAAAAAACAGGCAAAAAGCAAAATCGCAAGATGCGATCTACAAGTAGCAGTTTATAGTTATAGAAAAACTCATTCAAATGATTTGCTTGGCTCACACCCTAAAGAAACGTTGTTGGACTTATATATTATCCAATAACTATCTTGAAATTCATGCAAGATTACTATTCTAATTCGTTCAAAATCAAGATTCAAGGGGTTAATTCATCTCCTAATGTTGACACATCAGTGGCTACCTCCCGGGCTAAGAGCCAAAAACACCTATTTTGGTGAGCGAGCACCTACGTGTTCATATATGTGACCCCACGAGATTGATTTAGTGAAAAAGAATCGATACTTACGTAAATATGATTCTCCATACTACTGGTTCAAACAATCTCTATTTGGGCCATTCACTCAGACTTCAGCTCACTTTTATATACTCGCGGGTTTGGAGTTCGCTTATTTGAAGTGAATTTTCTAGTCACTCAAAAGAAAAAATTGACAGTAGAGGCAGTCGTTTCGTGGTTAAAAGAGGGCTAAAATACACCCAGACACTTTTTCATTGGACACCAACCACAAAACTTCTAATTCACTCAATGGCCACCAACATGATAGGGTTTACTTCAATTAAAGACCCCAAATTTGCAGGATCATCACCAAGATAAGTGAACCATTTAATTCCAACCCCTTTGACTAAATGGTTGGGAAGCAGTAACGTAATGTGGTCGCATATCCAGCCACATTTTTTTTTTAAAAGTACCCTAAAAATGGGTCATCAACTTCTAAGAAATTAACATTATAATATACACATACGATTATATCCACATAATAGTTATTTAAAGCTCATGATACTGTGGGTACCTTTCAAGAGATGTGTAGATTAATCAAAGCACAGGATAGGACAGACCAACTCAAAGCTCGGTCGAGCTTTTCGACGATTAAGGTGCAAGAAACTCCGCAGTGTCCCATGCATTACGTTAATGCGCCGCTCATTTTCTGCAATATTTGGGATCCAGCTAATCTTTTCCTATACAATATCTTACACTTACATGTATATAATATATATTATACGTATGTATGTATGTATTTAGTGTTTCAAATTTTAACAGTATGCTGCTTTTTGAATGCCTGTGTGCGGCGGGCTTGTCATTAGTGAGCGCGTACCAATATTTTGGAGGGTTTGAAGAGGCCGCACAAATGGGTTTATAATTCGATTTTTATGTTGTTAAGCCTATGTTATGCATAGCGATTTTGTTTTATTATATGGTTTTTCAGACACCTAAGATTTTGAGTGAAAATAATATGAATTTTACATAAAAAGAAAGGAGGGTTTTATCACTATACCTGAGCCTAAACCCCAAAAAAATATAAAGAGAAATGGACATAGGTCTGCACTCCGCAGTGGCTCTACACAAGGGGACATTCAATTATTATAGTCTCTATACTTAATTGCGTTGTTAATGATAAAGTAATGCGGGGCAATTTCTTGAGATACAAGCAATTCCAATTCTCCTGAATTTCGTATACATGTGTGTGCTGAAGATTGACCAGCCCACAGCAATTTGCATTTACAACGAGACACTGTTATATTTTTCATCTTTCTTTTTTTCCGGGTTTTGATGTAGCTGCTCCTAAATTCAGATCTCATGTACTTTCGTTTTTTCAAGAATTCAAATTGATCACAATCGCGCTTGCTTTATTAGCAAAGCACGGCCTTATGTTGTGCAAGGGAAAATAAGTTTTATGAGAAGGTGATATCGCGCGTTATACCGACACGATATCTCCAATACTAAGGTACTTGATCGGGGATGAAGGAGGTGTTTGATCTTTTAACATATTTATTATGACCTTTGAACATGCATTCGACGTAAGATAAATTGATGGGTGTTTTGATCGAGGACGAAGGAGGTTCTCTTGCGAATTAAAGAAGCTCGAACTCTATGAGTCTATGGCATTAGGCATGTGAAAGGCGTAGACTGTGGAGCCTATTGCTATTTCTGTACTTTCATTTAGAGGGCTTCTGGTTTAAATTAACATAATTTACTTGAATGCCTGATTGTTTAGTGCCCACAAAGCCAAAAAATAAAGAATTGGAAGGAAAAGGGGAGCGATGGATTAGTGTTTTAAAACCTAAGTACACAGACTTTAGGGCCACTTTCTTGACCCTTTTTCATCAAAAAAATTTTCTGGAGCCCCAAACCCTAGCCACAGGGTACATGTATGTAGCATAGACTTCACTCGGATTGCCTTACACAAGTTGACAAATCCCCCAACTCATTAATAACGGGACAAGAAACAGGAAGGCGACAGACAAAACCCCGCCATACCCATCCTTGAATTGCGAGGTCAATCATGGCCAGGCATTCATCAGTATTCATCGTGGTCATTTGTGTATTGAGGAAAAGGGGACTTCAAAAGGACTTTGCTCTGTTCGGAGAGGTTCTCATTTTGATTCAGAAAAAAGGGTGCAAAACTGAAATCCTGTATGCCTTCATCCCGCCGCGATCATGTTGCACATACCGCCGACAGAAGAATCAATTCTCGACAGGGCTCAGGGCGACACTTTCAGCCTCATGTGGTGCCGCGAAAAGGTTCCGAGCCAACCATAGCAGCTCGGGGCTTGTTTTCCAGACACTCATTAGCCCCAGATATGCAGCATAAAAGATTTCGCCCTAAGCTCACACAAACTCGAAACACTTTGTTCTGATCCGAGACCCAAGAAAATAATAGTACTGTTTCGGGTAGCAAAATACATTATGTTGAAGAAGAAAATATTAAGATACATTATGCCCAAAATAACACGTGAATTTGAATTAGAGAAAAAAATGGCTATTGATTTCATAATCGCAATAAATAAATACACTATCTCGCAGGAAAGAAAAAGCTACAGAAAATCTTGAATCCTATCGAGTGAGGCTACGTAGCAACATATCGAGGTTGTGACTTACTCGTGTTATTGCTCACTGTCAAATTTGAACCACTTCCAATTTGCATAAAGTGAAGCTTCGCTATCCAAAGGTACCTGGACGGTCGCAGAGGCCTCTGACTTGGGAGCTCTAATTACGGCAGGCAGCTTCTCCCTGTATTTCTTCGCCATCATTTCTGCCTCGGAAAATACTTTCTGAACAGACCAAGTATTAAGCGGAAGGGAGAAAACATGTTAGTTAACGTCTCGTGCTTAATGTATGCAACCGTGATGACACGGCGCCAAGGAAACATCACCCACAATGATATCACTACCTCTTTGTTTGATATAAATAGACCAGGCTTGCTTTCAAGGTCCACAATGCTGAAATCAACAAATGCAAGAAGTTAAGAGGCATATCCGATGACTGGATGATGTTATTTTCAGTTAGCCCGAAAGAAAAAGGGCGTTGAGAGAGCTTCGTGAAGTGCCATAAGGACATGGAGCTAATAAGTAAGCAAGGGGAAGGAGATTAGGAAATATCACTTAGAATTCTTTAGCAGTATTTCTTTGCTTATAAAGAGATTTACTCGAAGCAATTTAATTTCATCGATTCAAACTCACTCAGAGAGAATTCGACATAAAAAATGCGATTTGTTGAACTTAAAAATAAGGTTATATAACCAAAGAGAGGCGATGTTATTCACAAATGAGAGGAGCTCGACTAGAGCTTGTCCAATTATGAGAACTAAATGTTCGAAGTAAATGAATCAGTCAATGATCTCCATTAAGCATTCACAATATCAAGAATACAGGCTAAGTGGCAATGCACTAGACAAGCATAAATGAATGAAAATAATAAGATATTTGCTTCCACAATTACCTGAGAGAGATTTTATCGGGAATTATTGACTTCACAACCAGTACTTTAACTTTCTCGTCAACTGAGAGGACATCGCCGACAGAAGTGATCCGGGTAGCAGTAATTTTCGAGATATGCAACAAACCACTGGATAACACAGAAGGTAATGGCAATGCAGGCACATCAGCACAGACTGACCAGAAAGTAAGCCACTCAAGGCCAGCTATTAGAATTAGCATGTTAAGCTTTTACAATCAGCAAGCAAATTAGACAGTTCGAACCCAAAGATCTTTGGTCTCCACAAAATGAGGATGAACTTTCAAGTACAGTCTCATTAGTGCTAGTCTTGTGTCCTTTCTATCATATCTTTTATCTATTCAAAGTATTACAATGGAAAACACATGCATAAGGAAAAATTGTATTTTGATTGTATACTAGCAAGAGAAAAATGTGTTCGGGCCACCAACAATCCAGAAACACCTGTTAGTCCTGTCACTAGACTAATGGGTTAAATATGTTTTGCTCAAACAGCATGTAATATCAGTATCAATTTCAACCATTATCATGTGATTGAAAAGTGGAAGATAGGATTAAGCAAGGGATGGTAAGCTAGGAATCTGGCGTTCCCTCATTAATAAACTTTGCGACAAATTGCTGGACTTTGCCATATTTGCTACATATAATTGAAGGCAGTAATGGTAGTTTTCCCAATAAGCTGTTCATGCTTGTGCTGGCAATACAGATAGGCTTCACAAAGACCAACAACTCTGCAGTTCTACATCCTTTACATCCATGGAGCTTCCCAGACAAGTATAATGTTCTTATATCCAACGAACCACCAAGTATGATAATGGAGAAATTTAAGAGGTATCCTTCTATTAATTTCCACGCCTCATGCCACCATATCTATTTGAGGTCAACATAGCGACGGCATGTTTGAGAAAAGAATAAAAGCTTTTGTTACCCTCTGAGATCACTTTCAAACTTAAGGAATTGCATCTCACCTTCTATTAGTGTCACCGATCCTTATCTGAGCTCCATAAGGTAAAATTTTCTTTACAGTTCCATCAAGAAGTGTCCCCTCTTGTAGGTGCAGCATCTCCTACAGGTAACACATAAATATGAAGGGAAGTTCAGACAAAACATGGAAAGAGCAGCAGAAAATGCTAGGCAAAAACTCACCCATGCATCTTTCTCACTCAAAATCAAGTCATTCTTATCCTCGTCCATCCTTGAAATCAACACTTTTATTCGGCGGCCCACCTATAAATCAAGAAACCATTTACACGAAGAAGTATGTACTTGGTAGGTTCTACGGGCAAAAATTCACTATAGAAACCAACACTTGGAAACAATGCTAAAATAAATGTGTTGACTGCTTTAAGTTTAGAGCATCCCCTATAGCTTAGCTCAACAGTGGCATTGGCATTGGCAAGGGCAATGACATGGCTGTCCCATAGTGACCATGAAGAATCGATATTGTTTCACTTAAACACCACAGTTGGGCTTGAATAGCAAGGAAGAAGAGAAATTAACTAGATTGTCAGCTACCCCCTTCCTTGCCAGTCATCCAATTGACCCAAAACCTAATAAAACAAATTTGGCACATCCCTGTACTGTACTCTTTTCCACTGCTAGAGCAATTAAGAAAAAATGCAGCAGTAACGGAAATTTCAATTATGCATTGAATACAAACTGAAGGTAGCTCACTTTGACTGGACAAATTAATTAGTGGGAACAATGAACAACATGCAGAAACTTCCTCTGATACTATTCATGTAGTAAGGAAGTCAACTGCTGACTCCAACCACGTGGAACTACTCTATACGAGGCCAGCCATCAGATCTGAATAAGTTTTCCAATTACAGAATCGTCGGAAGTGTCCATCTCACTAGAAAAATTATAACTTTTAAAAGATCTTATAAAGGATTTGACTTTGAGCCTCATTTTTCTGCTGTTCTTAGAGCTTTTCGATGTTTACGGAATTCCTGCTGTCAGTCTTATTTTCATTGGGGTTTTCTTGTCATCCCTTTTTTTATATCATTTTTTTGTGTTTCGGATTTACAATTTCTTGAACATTCCTTTTAACAAAATCCTAAATCAAAGAGCAAAAAATAAAAAAGTGAACCAGCAGGCACTCAAAAGGATGTGGACTGGTTATAAAGAATCAGTCTACACAGGCAATTCATAATCATTAACCTGAGTCCGACCACTCTATACAATTTTATAGTCCTTAAAATTATCTGTTGCGCATGCAGAGACACATGATCTGAAGGGTGTCAATTTGGTTTTGATAGACTTCTTTCCTCTCAAGAATATCCATTTCCTAAGTCTTAAAGTTCTATGTAGGACAATTAAATGCAAATTGACCAGAAAAAAAGCTTTGGAAGGGGCAAAAACACCATCAAGTACCAAGTCCCTCTGCTGTTCCATGCAATAGAACGATCAAGTGAATCTTGGTTGTAAAAATAACGAGTGCATAAAAAGAGAACACAAAGGGGCAAAAGGATAAACTTAGGTCATATTCAGTGGCCAATTTGGACTTACATTTTCTTTCAACTCAGTGAAATTGTTCACTCTATTAAGCAACTCTGCTTTAGGAAGGAAAGCTCGCAACCCCTTCAACGAAAAACAAAAACTTATCAGCAATGATCTAGAGAAGATATTAACAAGATTTAATTAGGATTGGCATATGCATCCAACGTATGATGAATACATATAGATGCAGATACCAGCACAACATCAGTCAACCAAATAACAGCCTAACCTCAATTCTTGTGAGAAGTCCCCCTGTGTTCCACTCTGTAATTTTGACCTCTAGAGGCTCGTTCAGTTGCTTTATCTGATCAGAGAAACAGTAGAATCTCATAAAAAGGATTTCAAGATTTTCCACCAAGAGAATAGGTACAGAGTTAGTACCCTAGGATCTAATAAATGACACCTCAACCCCAAATACTTCTTAAGAAACCAAGGAATTGAATAATAGATTTCTGTTTCCTTCCCTCATACAAAGGAGAAGGTAATGCATCACCACTTCTAATTCACTCAACAGGCAATTATTCCAAGTCAAGTTCAAACTCTACATAGTACCTCACACACTATACACAGCTAAAAAATTGCAACTTTCTATCGAAGCCAAGTAAAATACACCACATAATATCAGTATCGATCTTAAACCAATTCTACCGGCTAGAATGGGCAAACAAAGTGAGAGAAGAACCTGCCTCACTCGATGCCAGGCAATCCTCCTAAAAAGCCGCCGAGTCGAAAGCAAAGGCCTTCCACTAAGTGTGCGCCCAAGCACCTCGGCAAACAACACCGTTCCCGTCTCCACCACCGGCCTACCTGGCCCCGGACCTGCGCTCATCGCCTCATCATACTTTACAATTCCCATCTTCCCGCGAGCCATAAAAGCCTCCGCATCATTCTTCAAGTCGCACAGCAAATGATCCATCTCTTTCTCGTACAAAGGCAACACCTCCTTCGTCAACATTGTGCCCAGCAAATCGGCCCCCACGTTGACATCGAGCCTATTCTCATTACCCGATACCACAACCCCGACCACAAAATCACCCTGCTTCGGCTCGTAATACTCAACGCTAACCTTCTCATCTACACTCTCACTTCCGCTATGCTCATCAAGAACCTCTACTACTACACCTCTCTCATCACCCTCGCCATCCGACGGATCTTCCTTATTCTTAAAGAACTTCAAGAACGGAGCCAGGGCCTCATCTTCGCCGGACCCACCGGCGGGTTCGTTCGTTTCCGTTTCCGCAGCAGAGCCATCGTCCACGTAAAGCGGCGGGGAGGGCTTGTTCCGCAACTCGAGCTCTTCGTTCTCGGGCTTCCGAGGCAATTGGGTTATGGAGAAACCATCAAAGATGTCGTTTTGAGAGTAAAGGGCGACATGGGTGGTCCTATGCGAAGAAGAAAGGTTCGCGAAGAAGTTCGGGGACGAGAGCGGCGAGAGAGAAGAGCAAGAATCGCGAAGGGGGTAGGAAGAAGGGAAGCGCCGAGCTTGGACTGCGAAGAGAGAAGGAGGGAAATTGTTGAGGATGGGAAGGGTTGAAGATGGAGATGATATGGAGTTGCAAGGTTGAAGGAGCGTTTGCATCTTCGCTTACCCAAGCAGCTTCATGAGCAGAGAGCGCTGCGTCTTGCTCGCTCGCTCGCTAGTTAAATATCTTCATTTTATCCTTTCCACCGTGCAATCAATCATCCGAAGAGACAGAAATTGGACTTGTCGGGCTTGTAATTTGATCCATAAATTTTTAATTTATTTATTATAATTTCTGAATTTTTATCAAATATTTAATATGGTTCCTGAACTTTCAATTAGTTCAATGTAGTCCCTGAACTTTTGGTACATGTTCAATATAGTCCCTGAATTTTATAAAAATGTTCAATGTAGTCTTTACATTAATTCAAGTTCAAGGACTATATTGTATATTTTCATATAGTTTAGGGATTAAATTGCACATTTACTAAAAGTTCAGGGACCAAATTGAACAAATTGAAAGTTCAGAGACCACATTGAATATTAGGTTAAAGTTCAGGGATTACATTGAACAAATTAAAAGTTCAAGGACCAAATTGCACATTGAATTAAAGTTCAGAGACTGTTTGTGTCATTATCCTTTCATTTTTTGATCTGTATTCTTTTCTCTCTCTCTCTCTTTTTTTTTTTTTTTTCAATTTCATCCTTGTCATTCAACCTATTTTTTCAAGAGAAGAAGAGTGAGGTCGGCAATTACCCAATTTAATCCTGAGAAAATATTTAGCGTGTTAAATATGCCACCCGGGATTTACATTGAACCGCCCAGAGATCGAGATCGATACGTTGACAATTCGGGCCCAACCAATCAGATTTTCAATATTTCTAACTCTCCTCCCTCTTTCCCCTCTCTTTCCCCCTCTCCGTTGCTTCTCCGTTTATTGACCGTTATCTCTCTCTCTCTCTCTCCAAGTTCACAACTTGGCTCAGCTCCGCTGTCTCTCTCTTCCTCCCTCTTCATGATCAAAACTCACTGCTCTGCTCTCTCTTCCCTCTCAGCGGACTGCACCGTTTTCTCCGCCGTTGCCGCCTTCACAAAGGAAAGAGAGAGCAAAACGGAGAGATTTTAGTCGTGAAGAGGGAGGGAGGGAGAGAAAGAGTTCAGCCACATCGTGAAGAGGTAAAGAGGCAGAGGAGAGAGCCTTAACGGAGAGAGAGAGAGGGGAATCGGAAATTTTGAAAAATCTAAGGACATGTTCACTGGAAATCCTAAAATTTGTCATGAAAGTGCAATCGAGTCCTAAAACTTGCAAAAAGTTCAATCAAGTCCTAAAACTTGTCAAATTGATTCGAATGAGTCCTAAAGTTAACACCGTCAAATTTACTAACGAAAAATACTGACGTAGCGCTGGCGTGGCTTTTTAAATAATTTTTAATACTAATTTTATCTAAATTAAATTTAAAAAATAAGCTAAATAATAAAAAATAAAAAAAGGAGGAGGACGAGGAGAAGACCCACGATGGCAAGGGGCTGTGGCCAAGCCCTCGCCGATGGCCGCCGCCACAACCGCCGGGAAGGGCTAGCAAAGGTTGCTTGGGCCTTCCCGAAGGTCGGCGAACCTCGCCCCAGATCGCCTGGGCCGGCGAGGCCTTGCCCAGCGTCGCCCATCCCAAGTGAGGCCTCGCCGGCCGTTACCAACCCCAGGTGAGGGCCGGCAACTCTTGCTCAAATCTAGGGCAAGGGTCGGCGACTCTCCTTCGAATCTAGGGCGAGGGTCGTGCCCTCCCCCAGATCAGGGCTTGCAGGCCCTCTCCGAGGCCTCGCTTAGGGCCGGCGAGGGTCGCCAGCCCTTCCCGATGGTTGCGGCGATGGCCACTGGTGAGGGCTTGGCCACAGCCCCATGCCACCGTGGGTCTTCTCCTCTTTTTTTTTTTATTTGAACTTTTAGCTTTTTTATCAAATTTAATTTGTATTCTTTTATTTTTTTTCCTGATGTGGTGCTTGTTGGACGCCATGTCATTGCCACGTATCTAAAAATAATAATAAAATAAAATACGTTAGCATTTTCCGTTAACCTAGTTGGATGGTGTTAATTTTAGGACTCGATTGAACCAACTTGACAATTTTTAGAACTTGATTGCACTTTTTGCAATTTTTAATACTCAATTGCATTTTCGTGACAAGTTTTAGAACTTTTAGTGAACATATTCCGAAAATCTAACAGGTGGGCAACGATTGCCACGTGTTGATCTTTGGGTAGTTTAATGTAAATTCTACGTGGCATATTTAACACACCCAATATTTTCTCATCAAATCTAAAATGCAAATATATACTTCTTTATTAACCTCTTACCTTTAAACAAAATTTAGGGATAGGTGTATCGAAAGTTCTAAAACCTTTCACAAAAGTACAATTGAGTCCTAAAACTTTCAAAAAGTGCAATCAAGTCATATAATTTGTCAAATTGATGCAATCAAACTCTTCCATTAACACCATCTAACTTTTTTTTTATCAGAACACCATCCAACTTGGCTAACTGAAAATGTTGACGCAGCTTTTTTATTTTATTTTATCTTTTCTACATGGCGCTGACATGGCTAAAACATGAAAGATAAGGCCAAAACGACATCGTTTTGGTCCAGATCTAATTTTTTTTAAATTTAAATATTATTAAAATTAGATTAAAAATATACCAATTTTTTTTTAAAAGATGAAGGCAAGAGAGGGCGAGGGCCTGCAGGACCCTCGCCGTTGCTGCCCACCTTTGCTGGAAAGGGTCGGCAGGAGTCGTCGAGCCTCGACCAATGGTCAACGGCCCTGGTTGACTGAAGGTGAGGGGCGGGCCCTCATAGAAGAAAAAAATTACAATATTTCAAAAATTGCCCACCCAGTATCGATCGTGCTACATAGGATGGCTGGCATTGATGTTATCAATTTTTTGGCCAAAATTGACCAGAATGACTATATCGGTATATCGTCAAAATATTTATAAATAAATTAACATAATTGAATTATTTATGACTGAATTTGCTACTGTACAATAGATTTATGCCTTTTTGGGTAATTTTCCTCTCATGATTGGCTATTAAAGTAACACCTACCATAATACAATTTTTGTTTTAATATAATCGCGTGTTATTTGCTTAACTCTTACTTATAATCATAAATAAAATATTAAAATATATGTAATATTTGATATAATAATTTTTATATCTAATAATATACTTGATATTAAACTCATGAATCATCATTGATTATCAAAGTTAGAATTATTTTATTCCCTCTAATGCTGAATTAATGGATATTTTGGGAATTGGAATGCAAATCCTCTATTATTAATTAATCTTTGATGAAACCAAATAGTGTAATGGGTATTACATTACTTAAACCAATAGCTATTATATTGCAATTTTATTCCAATATTGCAACCAAACGGCCCGTAAACAACTATTAAATCTCAAATTCTCTCTAATTAATCTCTTAACGTTTTTCGACAAAAAAAAATCTCCTAACGTTCAGTAACCATTAGAATCCAAACAATTCCGGAATAACCCCTAACTCATAATAGCCCAAAATAACCCCTATGGGGTTAACCCAAAGTCCAAACATCTCCCGACCTTGTGATTTGAGAATCTTTTTGCATAGTACATCTAATCTAACGGGAGGCGAGGCCCCAATAACTTTTACAGAATGAATATTTCGTTTATTTTTCCCATGGTTGAGATCTTTGCAGATATTTCTTATCTTTTGGCGTAGTCTATCTAGCCAAATCAAGTTGTTTTGCCCGAATAATGAGCACAAGTCGCTCACAAGTCACAAGCTTTTGGTGCAAATATTTTTATATGGATGTCCCTTATATAGGATAGGATCCTCATGCAGGATATATCTATATTTGATTTTCACATGATATTTTTGATAGATTTAGAATTTTGTTATTTGATGGATATCTTATTGGGGTCTTCTTAATGGTTAATCATACCTAATGAGAAAATATTTTCATTTCTAATACATAGATAATGCATATTATGAGAAATACAATTTTTGGAAATGACAATTTTTTTTTCAATGGTACGTTTAACAAGTGCATGGGGAGGCACATGTTAATAAAAGCCATCTCATTTTGACATCATTACGATCCTAAAGTTTGAGGAATATAAATAAACACTTTTTTTTCGCTCTTGTAAGACTGCTTGCCCTTTGACCTTGGATTTGATGACAAAATATTAACAATATATCTCTCTTGAGTTCGTGGGAATAAGGACACTACAAGTGCTAAAAGTTGTGTACGGCGCTCACTTTAGTGCCAAAAGTTTCCGCCAGATCACTTAAGTGCCAAATTTTTTGAAAAACGATCACTTGAGTACCAACTCCTGTCGGTTTGGTCGGAAATCCGCCGTGCATTTTTTTATTAGTTTCTGAAGCCAATGTGGCTCATCGGAGGTTTAGTCAGCATGTACACTTCAAAACGACATAGTTTAGCTTATTCCTCCCAAATTAAAAAAGAAGCGCAAATTGAAAACCCTAATCGACCGAATTCACCCTATTTCAATTTGCCCCCCAAATTAAGTGTTGAAGCTTGCAAATGGAGGGCAAGAGCTTCAGCAGCGGCTCAACTTCCTTTCAACAAAGCGAAGAAGGAGGTGAGTGTAATTGTTATTGTGGATTACCGAATCCAAGAAGAACATCTTGGACTCGGTTGAATCCCAGGAGAATATTTCATGGATGCGCCAGGTATAGAGAAGGCTCAAAATGCAAATATTTCAAATGGGTTGATGCAAAATTCCCCGGTCAATCAACAGAGGCGATCTTGGAGCTGCTTGAAGGACGGCATCAATTCCACCTACATTAACGGACGAGTTGGATGATGTGGACTCTATGCAAGTAGAAATGAAGGGCTTAGCATCTCTGGCCAAATATTTGAGAAAGGAAGTTTCAAGGATAAAAAGAGAAAGAAAGTGTTATTAAGTGTTGAATGTATTGTTGTTGTCATGTTTGGTCTATTTTATGCTCAAATGTAAAGTGAGTGATAAGAAGAAGTATCTTAGTCTACCATAGTTGTGAAGATTAGTGGATTATGTACTTGTATTATGTAATTTATAAGTATATTTGGGTTGTAGGTTTGCTACAATTTTTGTTTGTATGCAATTTACGGTGGAAATGGAATGTTGGAATTCA